CGTTGGCTGAGGTGCATGTGAAGTGATCAGTGATCTCTATCATGGATAGTTTGGGTCCCGATATTTTTTCAGCGTTGTGAATGAAAGGACAAGTTTTGCATCGTGTGCGAGCGCATTTAAAAGTGCCGGGTTGGTCATTAGTTTGTAATTCCTCCATTCTCTCTGACGAAGGGCTGACGCTCGAAACGTTAGCTTTTTAACCCCGTTTACGGTGGCCAATTTACAATTTCAACTCGGTTATTACCAAATTACTGAGTTTCACGGTGTCAATCAGCGGTCTTCTCCACTAAAAGACAGACTGTTTAAGTCTACATGAACAAGAAAAAGGAAAGGATTTGAACGGATGTTTTGAACTTGTCTGAACTGAAATTTAAACATTTCATTTTTTATTTGTCATCTTGAAACTGATCGTTGATTTTGTACTTTGGTTACATGAACGAAAGTACGACATAACCAAAAAAAAAATTAATGAGCGTCTTTTCAAGACCTTGTCCTGACTTAACGGAATGAAATACTAGAAGTGGTGTGATGCTCCAATTGACACGTGATGTTTGAAGGTCAAAGATGAATTTTATTTGCAAAACAATGGCGTCTATCAGCAAATTACATCATTTCTAAGAACTGGTTCCGCCAAGAAACATCGACTGAGCAGTCCAACCTGAAGCTGTCAGTGGTGAAGAGGCTGATATCAACATCAGAAGAATAACACAGCCACTTAACCGACGCAAATTAGATAGACGTTTGCAAAAGTTGAAATTATCGAAACTGGAATTATCGTCTACGGATTAGCAAGCATGTTGAGAACCATCACCACATCTACAAATGGCGTTTTTTCTGGCATCACTGGCCTGGCATTTTTGGTCATAAACATATACTTGAGGATATATTACTTATGGGTTCGTGTTAGCACTTGGTAAGTTATTGGTGAATTCAATGTTCATCCACAATTTCGCTTGCGTTCTATGTATTGTGAAATTCATCAAATCTTCCGGCCCTGATTAAAGGTAGAAGCTCACTTCTATGTATCATAACTCCTCTTTTTGCAAATTTAAACTTAAGGTTTTAAAGTAGGTTCTAAATTTGTACATATTTCGAATTTACTCACTAATGAAGGGTATCTATATTTTGATGAAGAATTTCGAGTTTGGTAGTTTCGTGCCATGTAATCCATGCACAACAGTACGGCGCGGTACGATGTCCAAGGGTCGAGATTTGCACGGTTATGTCCAGTGGCTCTGACGACGGGCTAACGTTCGAAACGACAGCTTTGAAATCCATTACGGTGGCCAATTTACACTATCAACACGGTTGATAAAACCAAATCACTTTGTTACCACCACCGTCGCAGCACCACAGTTTCTTTAGAAACTTACTCCCCTTAATATTATTCTTTTAACCGTACAGTACTGTTACAGCGTAAACACCGCCCTGTTGTTTTTCTGTTTCACAGATACGTGAACTAAGTATAGAAAACGAATTACATTTATTTTTTTCTAAAGTAAATTTACTTTGCACCTACAGTTTGTTTTAAATAATTATGAGATTAAAGATTTCAACAGCAGATTGTTTCCTGTTTGCAATTTCCTCAAATTTAATCGAGAATTGCTACTACCAGAAAGTTTAATGTATCAAAATTTGGTACATTATTATAATTTGTTGTAATTTTTATTTGATCATAGAATTCTGAATGTAACATAATACCATTTGGAACTGAACCTTGATGTCTTAATGTCCATCTCTATGTCTCTTTTCTCAGTTTTGATATTTGAAAGAATCTTTCACATGTTCTGAATATCTGCCTTTATTTTACATCCATACGTAAGAGAATTTGTGAAGGTTATTCTTAGATTTGCATATTTACTAAGCTGCAATATGGATGGGGCAGAGAGTCCAGGGAACATACATTTGTATCAAGTTGTCAAGTTGACTTTCTCAGATGAGTGCTGTGGCTCAAAGACTATGCCTATTAAGCAAGAATTTCTTCTTCTGCAAAATGTTAACCACATGGTAGTGATACCTGTATTACTACTTTGGATGGTCAAAGTTATGTGTATGTTCTCAGACTACAAACAGTGACTTGGCTGTCCAGTGAGGCCTAGCCTGCTGTAGTTTCCTATTATATAGGTCATTGGTGGAGTATCCAAAGTGCTTATTGAAGTGTGACCCTAAAAGCCGGAATGGTGGAATGGCGGAAAATGACCCCAAATCCTAAAACACGGAATGGCAGAAAATGACTCCAAATTCTAAAACATGGAATGGCAGAAAATGACCCCAAATCCTAAAACACGGAAGGGCCGAAAATGACCCCAAATGCTAAAACACGGAATGGCAGAAAATGACTCCAAATTCTAAAACATGGAACAGCGGAAAATGACTGCAAATCCTAAAACATGGAGGGGCGGAAAATGATCCCAGATGTAAATGTGAGAACATCACAGGAACGTTTTCAGGCTTCTCAAAATATAACGACATTCAGCCCCAGCCCCAAACTTAGACTAGCGTGAGAGCAAGCCCTCATTACGAGCCCTTCAATACGAGCGTTCCTTCATCCACGAATAAGTTTTGGGCCTTGAGTAACACCAGGTGAAGAGAGGTTTGCAGGGGGTTGTGTGTGGGAATTTCTTATGGTGTGAAAAGACAAAGAATTACATTTCCCTTTCAGGAAGGGCAATTTAAACACCATAGAGTTGAGGATTTGCAATTTGCTGAGGAACATAAGAAATCCGCTAAACAAATTGGTGAAATAGCATCTTTTTGTCCAGAAAGTTTATTTCTTCCGCTGATATGTAAGCCGTAAATTTCATAGTAGGATGGTGGTGTTTTGGACACCTGGTCACGAATTAATTCTTTAAATTCTTCTTGATGGTTTCCTTCTCCTAACTTTCTTTTGTCTTTTCACGCCATGAGAAATTCCCACGCGCTTGACCCCATGCAAACCTCTCTTCACCTAGTGTTACTCGAAGCCTAAGACTTATTTGTGGACGAAGAAATGCTAGTATTGAAGCGGTCATAACAAGGGCTTTCTTTCATGCTAGTCTAAGTTTGGAGCTGGGGCTGAACATCATTATATTTTGAGAAGCTTGAAAACGTTCTTGTGATGTTCTCACGTTTACGAGCCTATGAGATATTATTGTTTCATAAATCAATACAGACGTGACCAGGAAACATATGTTACAAATTGGTTATTGAAATATGGTACGTCAAGTTAGTTTTCAACATGCCCTGACATCCATTCCATGTTTTAAAATTTGGGGTAATTTTCTGCCGTTCCATGTTTTAGAATTTGGGATCATTTTCTGCCATTCTGTGTTTTAGGATTAGGGGTAATTTTCTGCTGTGCCATGCTTTAGGATTTGGTGTCATTTTCTGCTGTTCTGGCTTTAGGGTCTCCCCTTATTGAAAGATCTTAAGTTCCACTTTGTTGGGAGCATTCAGAGTTCTTCTTCTCCTAGTATGCTTGTATTAATTACTGAATAACATCATCCTTCGTTAACAAATCTACTGGTGAACCTTTTTCCCATATCTCTTTGAAGAATCAGTCAGTGACTGAAGGCTGACATCTCAGAAACCCAGAGTATCGTGCTACTAAAAGCTGTGGAAAAAGCAAATGATACATTCAAGATTCCTAAAGACAAATTAAAGGTAGTCACTCATGGCAGCTGTATTCTGCTAAGAAATACACCTGCAACTCCTCAGAAACTCTCTGCTATGATCAACTGACATTATCAACTTAATTGATAAAACCAAATTGTCTTAACAGACCAATAGCACTGTTGAGATATTCAATTTGTTGGCCGTGCTTTGATTCAGAGAGTACGCTCTTCACCCTTTTTCTAAAAATTTCCAGTTGAAATTGTATCAGAAGAAAGTTACTGTGTTAATGTGCACCGTACAAACCCCAAATTGATACACTTATTTATATCTCATTTAAGAGTTGACAGTATTTTTTACAAATTTATACTGGAATATGCTGGAAGGCTGACTTAAGATTATTTTTCCTTCATAACAGGTTTCTGAATTGTATTTTGTCATTCATACTCGTGTGGTGGTTTGGACTCAAAGATGTGAAAATCTCCATCAAAGATTTTGGATTTTTATCAGTTCAAGGCATAAGAATACATTGGAAAGATAACTCAGGATTGGTATGAAATATTTTTTCATTTATATGTAGTTTTACATGAATTACACTGAGGTAAAAAAGATTTTAAACAACAGTTGTAGATAATTTAATTTTTTTCTGCCACTTGTAGATCAGCATAACCTCCACAACATGATGAAAAAAAATCTAGTTTGAAATAATTTTGACAATAAATCCAAACTACAAATAGCTTTTATTTAGTGAAATACAGCTTTGTGCTGCTTTCTTAGACAGACTTTGAAGTTCTGCAATTATGGTCACCTCATTGCTTCCAATACCAACTGGTCAAGATTTGAACTTTGAACAAGAGAATTTTTAGAAGAAAAAAATGTGTCATTGCACCTCTACTTTGAGCAAGAGTGAATACTCATGGCACAACAATGGGGTAACCTTGACAAGTTTAACTTGGATATTACAATACATGAATTGATCTGTGTGAGTGACCAGAAATGACCTAAAACTGAAATCTGCCCAGGGAAGTTTAGAAAATGTTTGTCTAAGTTGAGTTCTGATTCTTAGTGCATGGAATAGCTGTAAGTGTAGTAGCTCTCTGTGAGTAGAGATGTGTTTAGCAGTTAGGAGCAGGGTTCACGAAGAGTCAACTGGTTTAGAATAAAGAATAGTAACATCTTTTTTTTTTGCATTTTTATTCTGAACTGTTGATTATGAACATTAGATATGTGTGCACTCAGCTATGTCATTGAGCCTGAAGGCATTTTTTTTAAGTAGCAATGAATGAGAATTATACTAGAGCTGTGAAGCAGCCTGAAGTTATAATTTGGATTATACGAACAGATGAAGTGAGAAATGAGTTTCCCACCCTTCTTCCTCCTATCTATGGGGTCTCTCTTTTGCCCATTAATTCTATGGTGTTAAAAAGCCACTGAAGCATCATGGGACCATAAGATCGAGGTCCCAGGACCTTGTGGGTATACCCAGGCCCCCACTATTGTTTCTTTAGTGGGGGGTTCGCCCTTCTGTTGGCATTAAAAGTGGTTTGAAGCACTAATTGGGAAATTCCTAGAATTTATTTTGTTGTCTCATTTATTGCAAACAGAGTCTGTGACATATAATTATTTCGAACAGAGTCTGTGAAATATAATCAGCCATACTTAACAATAGGGTTGAGACACAAAACCATACTGGCCCACTCATTCTTTCACCTGTTCCCTTCCCTTGAAAAAAAAAAAATACTTTTTCATCATCATTATCGTGATTATGTCAAGTTCCATTCAAAGAGAGAAAATAAAACTGTTCTTGTTAATGAAAGCTGTGTTTTCAGTTTAGTGTCTCCATTACTTTTGTTGCTTTTTGTAGTTCTAAGCCATCTTTTATAAGCACAGATTAGATTCATTGAAATAGTTGTTTTTGAGTTTTCAGTTTGCATTAATTTTGTTCTATGTGTGTCACTAAATAGTGTTTTTTTTTTTTTTATTCCACAGACAATTGAAGATATATCATTTAAGAAAATTGAATGGAACTTTCTGAAAGTTAGGTGGGGTGGATTTTTAGACCTAGCTGTGTAAAAAATTTATGTGAAGAAAATGTTGTAATGACATGTACTCATTACCCTAATTAAAAGTTCCAAAAGTTTGTTGATCGTAGTAAATTTGTTGATTTTTGTTTCTCATAGGGATATCACATTTCTGTTTTACATAAAGGATTTACACAGAGAAATATTTACTGATGCAGAGGTTTGTTCAAATGCTAGTTCATAGTTTTTAATGATCTTTATTAAAATACTGCAGTAGGAGTACCCTTAATGACACTTCTGGACAGCGTAGTCTTGAATTTAATGTAGTGTGAAGGACCTTCTGTGACATGATCCTGAATTTTTCAAATTTAATTATATCAACAAAGTTAAAATGGTAAATTGGCCACCGTTATGGTTATAAAAGCTGAAGTTTCGAGCTTTAGCCCTTCGTTGGAGTGAATTTTTCAAATTTAAATTTATTTAATTTTTTTGTTAGAAGGATACAACAACAGATGTTTACACTTCTTTTATTCTTCATTGGAAGATGGTGAGGTTTTTATTAATGATGATATCATACAATTACATGAATGTTTTATAATTACAGCTTGTTCACTAATGTCAAAATAATTTAAATTAAAATAATTATGTAATGCATACAATATGCCTATACTATTTTAATAGTTGTCTGTGTAATATTTGGGTTTAATGATTCCTTAATGCAAATGAGTAGTAAATGAGTAGCAATTTAAAGGTTAGATTTACTATTGTTCTGAATTGATCTTTAGAAGATCTTCTTTACAGTTAAGAAAAAGTTTTGAGTAGTTTTAGCAATAATTGTTTTTGTCATGTCTATGGCTGTGCTTATACTGTCAATGTTTTACCCTTTATTTTTGATTGATAGCATTCCCCAAGGGACCTGATTAGCAGTGACCTTCGCAATTCCAGCGAGACTGTACCACCATCCTTTACATTACTGCATGCTACTGATGTACAGATTGGAAGTAGACTGCATGTGCACAGAGGAGGTGCCTATGTTGCACTGTTCGAGGTAATCTGCTTTTTGCATGCGGTGATGGTGTGAGCGAAGCACTTATGTAGAACAAAAGAAGCCAAGGTTGAACTACGACGTTTTGATTAAGAGTNGCATGGATATCTTTTATCAGGCTGATGTCTTGGATGGGCTGTTGATACCATCAAATGAGGCCACCTCGCTATGTGTAAAAATGAGAGAAATAACATACTGCTGTGGACCATATGATCCAGGGCTTGTACAGGCCAGGAGAGAAAAGGTAAAATACATCTACATGAGTTTTGATCAGTCATATGATTTGACATGCTCCTGTGGGCAGTGATTTGAACTGGCCTGTCTTTTTGGTCGAATGGCTCTTACACTAGGTAACAAACCTGTCAAACCTGTCTGACCTGACCAAACCTGTTTTTCATCCAGAGCTGCTTATTTTAGTCAAACGTGCCTGACCTGACTTGTTTCCTGTCTAGAACTTGATATACTTGTCTCACTTACCTGAGGTGACCTGTTTCCTCCATAAAGCTTCAAATATACTGCACCTCTTAAACTTGTTTGCCTGGACCTTGTCTACTGTCTCTTGACTCAAATCACCATCTTGATATCACACATGTAGATCAAGCCTTTGGCGTTTTAAGCGTAGAAGTAATTTTGGTACCGTTTCATTTATCAAATGAGTAACTTTTTAAACTAAATTGACTTGAACTAGCAAGGTCATTGTCACCCAGACCCCAATATCATTAGATGTTAAATGACACTCACTTTAATTGCATTTCTGGTCAAATCAAATCTCCGTAAATGTTCTGAATTTTATTACATTTCAGATCCTTAAGATGCCACTTGTGGATTTTCTCGGTACATTTTACAAATCAGGTCCATCACAGGTCACAATGAACTTTAATGGATTGCAGATATTTGTCAGTCCTTGCAGAGTAAATTCTCTAGTGATTTATTTCTACTCCTGGATTTATCAGCTGAAAGAAGGTAACAAAGAAATAACTGTTACATTTTTTAAATTAGTGGGACTGTACAATGTACTTCAAGTCTTCACGAATCTACATGTACTTAACGGTATTGATCATACTACTAGATTACAAATAAAAAAAAAACCCCAAAAAATCTGTCTTTCATACAGCACCAGGTAAGACCAAAGTCGCATACGTTTCAATACCATCTGAAAAACTGGATTACAAATCTTTTTTTGCATCGCGGCATGATATGGCATCAACGTCCACGCTTATATTTTCTAAGCTATTTCCTTTGCACTCCGTTTCAGCTTTGTCATCTGAATCAGAGGGCCGTGATGAAACAGACATCAGTCCTGACAAGTCATTAGAGGTAAGCTCATGGAACTTTTTAATTTCATCGAAACCTTTTTTCCGTTGCGTCCAACATGAATGTAAAGCCCTCAATTGGCACTTGCTTTTTATCGCCCGCGAAAAAGTATCAAGTTAAAAGCAACGCGAGTCGGCGATTCATTCTTAGTGCTAGGCCTCCGGTAAACTTCTCCTCGACTCGCCTCAATCTCCCAGCGGACGAGGAAACATTCGTGTAGGTTAACGAACGTATGAAACTTCATTCCATGACAATGGTGCAATTTCTCTTTCTTTTCTTCTTCAGGTCAATATCAAGTCAGAGGATTCTAAAGTTTCAGTCTGCTTTCAAGATGGGGATGAAGCAGTCAACATCACGGCGTCTTTCAATCTCTCCCTTCTTCAGAGAAACAAGAAAGTAAGATTTCCAAGCAATTTTCTTTGGTTGGCCTTAAATATATATACCACTGCTGATTGGCAGTTTGCTAGGAGTTCACCATCACTGGCTTATTATATTAATTGCTGGCGATTTTCAGCGAGATAGTACCATTATTCCTGACATTAACGAAGTAAAGTCCATTTTCTGTTCGATGTGAGATTGGAAGCATGTGTAGATATTACACTAATAACGTGGCTGGAGAAAAAGATTAAAAGTTCTTTCAATTAGAGATTTATTTTCTTTTTCAATCTGAAACTTTTCCCACGTCGGGCATCCACTAGTCACGAATTGTTAATTTTTTAATGTTATTATTATTATTATTATTATTATTATTATTTATTTATATTAATAATAGTAACTTTATTTCAGAACTTGAAACATTACAATAACGTCGCGTGGATAATGGATTTCCCTCTCGTACATTTCCAAATTAGTTGACACGGAATACATCTATTAAATTCGGTTCTCTAGGATCAGACTCGTATCAGACCCAAACTAACTTTGAAAAATAACCAAGCAAATCCAAAATGAAATAATTTTTTTGTTGTCACTGACTAAAAAAACTTTGTGTGAGGAAGTTTCGATTAAAATACTATAACCTTCTTCGGCAATAAAATGGCTACGAAAGCAAATGAGTGCTTTAAAAAGAGCCGCAGAAACGTCACTTGGGATTGCCAAGGGCCTTGTAAATGTCAGGAATGTAAACGTGATCATTAATGGCATTCAGTTCACAAATTGAATGCCACGCTTCTAAAAATAATATTTTCGACCATTGGGAACAGCGGTCAATGATCTTGACGTCCTCAAGGTCAAAATCATGATTGTATTTTATACAATGTTGGGTTAATAAAGAATTTCTCCCGTGAAAATCGCTCTCTTGTGTTCTCTAATCCTGGATCTTAAGGCTCTTGAACTTTCACCACTCATTTAAAATTGCTCTATCATTTATACATGTATCAATATTAGTATCAGTATCAATATCATTATTGCTTTTATCTCTTCATAAATGTCTTTGAACTCGGTAGTTATTACGACATGATAAACTGCAGATTGAATTACATGCACTTGTCCTTCCAGACTCAGTATGGAGCTTCAGTGGGAATACAAGCACATGTTCCGAGCTCAGAGGGGAAAAAAGATCCACATGCCGTCATTGGAAATGAGTGGATCTCAAAGCCTTGGGAGTGTTCCTTTATTGTGAGTAATTTAAACGTTTTCTAGTGATTGTTCATGATAGAACAACTTTCAGTTGAGTGTCGAAAGTAATCCGAGGTTCATTAGTTTTACTTCGCTCTCCGATTAGTACAAAAAACTCGTGACACTCTCTCCACCAATCAGATGCAGAATCAACAACAACTTGGTCGTCCGTGTTTTCCCGCGCTTTTGGTGATTTTTACTTTGCGTTGTTATCGGCACTTAAGGTTTTTTCCTCTTTTCTGACTGGCCATAGTGAGGTAGGGAAAGCGTTAAACGAGGAGTTGGGCAAAAACCCTGATACAAATGTTGTGAAATACAGTTTTGTTTTTTGTTTTGTATTTACTTATCATGTTATTGAGAGTAAAAATGTGTAAAACGTGACCCGGGCGGGAGGGAGAGGGGACGAAAATTGTCGTGTTTTGACTTCAATTTATAAGTGCCTTATCCTATAATTGGTAATCTCTCTCTCATTTTCAAGTTGACTAGAAAACGGTGAAAAAGTGATTTTTTTTTTCTTCTGAGCAGGGAAGTGATTCTGTAGGCCACTCTAAAGTAGCAAGAATAACATCGGATCAGAACTGCTCTGTTGTTCTTAGACCTGACTCTGTTCCTGTATTTCAGAAACTTCACGAGGTAAGAGTAGCGATTTTCTTGCTGTGGTAAAACTATGATGTAAGGGACATAGAGGCTTAACAGAAAATAGAATAAAATGGTGAACGGAAAGTATGTCCCAAACTTGATGCGATCCGATACCGCTTTTGAAAATGAGAAACAAAAAGACTGAAAAATGAAGCAAACCAACAAACAAAGGAACAACAACAACAACAACAAAACTGCGGCACCCTCGTTCATCACTGTTGAGGGATACGTTAGCAAAGTGTCATGTGGGATGGATCGCCTGGTTAGCCCCGTTTGTAGAGGGTTCGAGCCCTAAACCGGACCAACTCTCAGGGTCCTAAAATAATTGAGAGGGATGTGCCTGCCTTTGCTGTGACATCTGCAAGTGGTTAGACGCTCTTGTCTTCTCGCATAAGGATGATAAACCGTAGGCCCGTCTTCTGCATCTTCTTTGTACTGATTAGCAGGGACGATAGAGAATCCAGACACTTAATCGAAAAGAGTAGGGATCGTAGCTCCCGGTGTTGTGGTCTGGCTTTGTTTCCAAATATTCCTAAATTTGGAGTACCTGCAAAATTTCCTCAATTTTTTCTGTCGGCTTGTTCACCCTAAAGATACCTTCATTCTCTTCGTTTTCTTTTTTGGTATAGATTTTATCGATTTTTTTTTTCACTTCTTTTTGTTTTTTTTTTCCGGTAGGAGTATATCAGCCTTTTAGATCTGAGGCGAATGCACGATTTGATTGGGTTGTTAAAGAACAACAAGAGAGAAGAACAATCTTCGTCAAGACAGGTATCTTTATGGTTCACTGGTGATGAATTGATAATAGGCTGTGGGTAAACGATCATTATTTGCGCTCTCGGCACGAGCATTTCTTCGCCCGCTGGAAAATGGGAGGCCTTGAGCAACCTGAGTCTGCGAGAGGTCTGCAAGGAGTCTGGTACTCATGATTGGCGTCAGACTCCCGGCAAACCTCTCCCAGACTCGTCTCCAGTCTTCCTGCGGGCGGAGAAACGCGTTTCCTGCAACACTACTGATGGGGGACTACTCGCAGATTAATAAATTAATGAATTGATAATTATTCAGATTTTGAGACGGTTTGAGAATGGTTATAACTGTTCTTTTCTGTTTTTGCTCCACGAGTTTGGTCTCGGAAATGATCTATAAGCGAAAAAGGGCGAAATGAAGTTCGCCAATTTCGACGAATTCGTCTTTCAGTCCATTAGGCTTAAAACTCCTCGAAGTAATGTACTATTTGACATCCTCTTTTACTTTCCGCCCGTCTTACAATAAACAGGTCAGCGAGAGAAATTGTCGAGTAAAGCAACTGATTCTCCCAAGCAAATTACAAAAATTGATGAAGCAATTGGTGAATTTCACAGCTTTTCGAGTCGCGTTTTTGAGCGCGTTCAGGCGGATGGTTTTTAGTTCAGCACGTGCGTTTTAAAGCCGTCCTTCTGCAAAAAAACAACGAGAAATCACGAAAATTTGCGTGATGTGAGAACGGAAACCCCATCAGCAGAATATTGAAGTTTCTATTTGGAGCTCAGCGCTGTTCACATATGATATGCTGAAATTGAAGTGTTATGCTGTAAGTGACGATAAACACAACCAGCCATTGGCGAAATTCTAACCGAAATTATAAATTCATTTTATAATCAATGTCTTCGGCGTTAACCCCCTGACTGGTTAAGGTCTCTAGTGTTCTTTTTTCACCCCTCGATGCTATTGTTCGTTGGTACGTTGTTTCTTGTGGAGTTGCGGTGGCCTCATGGTTGGTGCGCTCGACTCCGGATCGAGTGGTCCGGGTTCGAGCCCCAGCTTGGACATTGTGTTGTGTTCTTAGGCAAGACACTTTACTCTCACAGTGCCTCTCTTCACCCAGGTGTTTAAATGGGTACCGGCAATTTAACCCTGCGATGGACTAGCATCCTATCCAGGGGGGAGTAGAAATACTCCCAGTCGCTTCATGCTACAGAAACCGGAGTTAAGCACCGGCCTAATGCGCCACTAGGCTCGTAAACAGACTTTACCTTTACATTGTTTCTTAATTTCCAGGTTTTCGTAAGTCTCAGAGGATTAATAGTTTCTTTAGAAAGAGAAGTGTGCGAAGACCTTCTGAATGTCAGCGTAGATGACATACGGGTAAACACACTTCTTCTCAATGTCTATCGAAAGAGTTGATTTTATTTTGTTAGTTTCTCTAATTGTCTGTTTACCTGACGAAAAACAAACCCTGATTACATATTGTATCTTCAGATGAAAATGCTGTCTTTGAAATTACATGTTTTTTTCGCAGTAGTTTTAGTCAAACGAGAGGAATTTCGAAAAAACTCAGTGAGGAAACTCAAAGCTGAAATCGAAGAGTCCTCATTTCTATGTCTGATATGCCACCAATATGTTGTAGATTCAGAGAACTGTTTGGAAAATTTCCCATTGAAAAGTTTTTAGCACTTGAAAATGCGCGTCTTTGGACTCGACTCTGCTATTTTATTGAAACGTAATACGTGATTCTGAAGTGAAAAAAAAAAGAACGTCATCTTTGATTTTACCATAACCTATGTGTGCGGGCTTTTTGAAGAACTCGGTTGTTGTGTCAGAGGATATAACACTCTTTTTTCTTGTCTCTGTTTACATCTTCTAGATCGATTTTAACCGAGATCATCACCATGTAACAGTGGAACTGAGTGTTAAAGACCTGGAGGTAAGCCTGTTGTCCCTTAGAGTGACCAGCATCTAATTTCTCCTTACAATATCACCCCTGAATCAAACATTAAGGTCACGAGGAAAAAGCAAATGATCAACAGCTAAAGAAGCCCTTGATTGTTAAACAAATTCTCCTTGTCAACACCTATAGAAATGTATAGAGAACAATATGGAGAATATGCGTACTGGTGAAAGGGTGTAAAGGACCTTGTCATGGTACTTATCTTAAGGTTCTAACAGGGCGCACCAGACTTTTAATTTTTCTTACTTCAGTCATTTTTTAATAAATGAACCATAAAATAGCTTGACCTTACAGAATTCTGCGAAAGCCTCGGGGAGAAGTACCTTACTAACCCTTAAGTAATATAGACTGTCTCACGGACAATTCCTGCGCGGCCTGGGTCGAGTGAGTACTAATTTATTCATGCCGTGTAAGTAGACCAGGCCGGGACCCAGGCCGCGCAGGAGTTGCCTGTGAGACGGTCTATACTACTCCCTCATTTCCCTAAGAGTGACGAGCATCTAAAATCATTCACTTAGAAGCTCTTGATTGTGAAATGAATTCTCCCCGTCACTACCTTAGGAAATGTATAGAGAAGAGTAAAGAAAATTTAGATACCGATGTTAGGATGTAAAAGGTGTAGAGAATGTGTTGGGTTATTCACGTTTTCTCCCGTTTTCGACCATCAGTATAAATTTACTATGCTTTCTTTTTATCTTTGTGGAATATCCCTTGGTCTCTCTAAGTTCTGAACGGCTTCTGTTACTTCTTTGGTTTTAGTGACTACAAGTATTATTATTTCTCATTGACCCATAATTGTAATTGTCAACAGGTAGAGGATTGTGCTGATAAAATTATTGCTTTTCAACAAGAGCGGTCCAACGGCATCAGTTCCAAATCTCTTCTGAGGTTTTCACTCCTGCAGGATGCGAAGAATACAGAGGAGAGAGTAGTAGTTAAGGTACGTCTGGAGATGTTTACATGACATGCTGTGATAACTGAATCTCCTAATTAGCTCAGCAATTTGCGTCGTAGATTTTTGTGAACTATGGGTTGAAATCAAACTCGAATTTCAATATCCTGACGGCTAAAACTTGGATAGCTTTTGTAATTTCTCTATAGTTCTTTTTATATTTCCTAATTTCGGGGAAATGTATACTTACAGTATTTCCTCCAAATTTTAAATAAGCGCTCGGGCGTATATTTAAAATTTCGGTTAAAGGGAGGGGAGCATAGTGAAAGGAGGGCGCTTAATCGAGGGGGTGCTTAGTATTCTCCTGTACAGATTCTGTTGTAGTTGAAGCTTAAAAGGATAGATATAGAGTGGCGATATAAAACATGTATTCCTTCTGAATAGGAAAGTGAGGGAGGAGGATGAATGAGCGCGCAGGGGGTGGGGCTGGGGGGCTTTAGCTCCCCCACTTTTTTGGCTGATTAAATCACTATTTTTTTTACTTAGAAGTTAGTCTATTCATTTCAATTTGGTCAAACGTGAAGGCCAGTTTGTTACTCGTTGTTTTAAAAGAATTAAAAATTAACTTCACTTTTGGCAGTTTTAGATCCATTTCTAGCCATTTCAGAAGACTTTAATTTCAAATTTTCCCTGGGTAGCATGCCCACCCCCTTGTTGGCTCACGCTAACGCGTTCGCATTAGCCCCCCTCACTTGAAAATCCACTCCGCGGGCCCTGGGATGGGGAGTGGGCGTATTCTAGAGGGGCGTTTGTCTGACATTATGGCTTAGGGTGTGGGCATTCATTCGGGGAAGACGCTCATAAGAGCGTGGGCGCTTATTGGAGGAATTACGATGCTTACACGTTTTCTCCTTGCAACAGAAACTTCATTTGGAAGTGGGCGACTCAACAGTCACTTTCCAAGAGAAACTCATCCTGAAACTTCTGAAATTTGCTGGCATCAAAGACAAGACTCAGTTATGGGGCGAGGACATAAAAACAGAGCAAGAAAACTCCAACGGAAATCCGCCCACTACTCTCGCGGCAACGCCATTTTATTTCGAAAAGCTACATGTGGAACCTTTTCGAGTTGTGGTGACTTGTAATCCGGCCGGTGAGCTTTCGGATGATCTTCAGAGTTTGAAAACATCGCTAGAGATTCCTGCCGGTTTTCCACCATTGATGGAGAATGCCAGCATGCAGTTTGGTAAATAACATTTCATTTCATATTGAGAACAAGAACACTGAGTACTCTAGCATAGATCTTTCACCCTTTCACATCCTAACAGCAATATGCATATTCTCCATACTGTTCTCTCTACATTTCCTAAGGTGCGGATAAGGAGAATTTGTTTAACAATCAAGAGCTTCTTTAGTTGGTGATCATTTCATTCATTCTTGTAACCTTTATATGTAATTTAGGGGTAATACTGTAAAGAGGAATTAGATGCCAGTCACTCTTGAGAATTTTTATTGTGGAGTGCTTATGGTATCTGTCATGTGTGATTTACTTTCATTGTAGAAAAAGAAAATTCTAATCCTTTACCGACCTTGTGATATTCCCCCTTTTGTACAGATTTCACTGAAATGGTTCCATCATTCAGACTACAAAATATAGATTCTTTTCGCTAAGTCAATTTCTTTTTTGAACACGGAAAATTTTCGTGCATGGTGGAAGTTCACTCCTGGAGTTCTGTTGGAAGAATCTAATGAGACGTATCTTACTGATTTAATTAAGATGTGCCCCTTTGAAATTCTTGAAATTGACTCCTTATACCCAAAAGTTAGGAATCATATCCTCCAAAAATCTTGACAATCAGAAGCTTCTTAAATTAGGGATCATTTCTGTTGTTCTCGTGAACTTTGCATTTGAATCAAGGGTGGTGCACCAATGAAAAATTAGAAGTCGGTCACTCGTAGGAGTTAGAGGGTTCAAGAAGCCACATCACATGTACATGAACACGGTTAAGAATGGAACTGAAATTTGAATAGTTCATCTTGCGATTTACAATCGACGAACCAATTCAGTCAACTCTTTCGTTTCTCATTTTCTACAGGAGAATTTTTACGGACGGGTATAACTTACAAGACGGTTGTTGCTTTCGGTCGAGACATCAGGAGACATTATTTGAAGGTGGGTTAATTTTCGCGATAATCTTATGATCAGTGCAGTGTTCGATAACACAGATTGCGACTTCAGCGATACAAGATAGTAAAGCTTAAGGTGCCTCCCTCTCCTGGAGTATTAAAATAGAAATAATAACAAACAATCAAATTAACATAAGCAAGGGAATAAGGGAATTTATTACACGACTCGGGCAGTCAGAGGGCCAATAACTAAAATCAACCAATCAAAATGCTCTATTGCCGGTCAATATTCTCTCAGTATTGGACCGGGCACTGTCCCGAATGGTCCCGAATGATACCGCACTTGTGTCCCTTTGAACTTCAATCGTATAATAAATCTCTTATTAACCAAGCTTGCTCGGGACCGTACTGGAAGAATATCGGCCCTCGGTCTTTTTTGTACGGACCTCGCTGCGCTTGGTCCGTACTGTCAAGACCTCGGGCCGATATTCTCCCAGTTCGGCCCTCGCGCTTGGTTAATAAGATAAATGTCTTGCGGTCTGCAGCAATATCCTAGTTGTCCAATATTGTTAAAGTTTTCCTTTTATTATTACATTAATTCAGCATGAAAAATTGAGGTTAAGAATTAAGAAATATATTAAGGAGAGATAAGTTGTCTTGTGTACGCATGATTTGGAATGTCCAAAGCACACTTATGTTTTACTTTCGTTAAGGATCCTAACATCTTGTAATATCCTGCCTCTCTTCACGTAGAATTGTGAGTGGATAGTGAAACACTGTTAAGGAAAATGGGCGAAATGTTGATGGGGGAGGGGAGAGGAGGGGGTAGAGGGGGTTGGGATGGCAATGGACATGTGTCATTTTATTGGGGATGGCATTGGTCCAAGTCCGCGAGAGACGTGCTTCAGAGGTCATGAAAGGAAACCAGCTCTGTCCCTTATTTCAGGAGATTGGTCGTCAATCCACCTCTCTTCTTGGTTCGCTCCATCTCCTTGGTAACCTCTCCAGCTTGCAAGGCGATATTTCTGATGGACTGGCCGAGCTAAAGGAGACTGGTGACTACTTTGGCTTCGTCAGACAAGTGAGAGGTGGACTGGCTGAATCCTACTATAAGGTACGAGTTATAGCTGTACAACGGTGTACAAGTACAACGTGTTTTACTTGACGTTTCTTTAACGCTCTAAGAACAATTTTAATTTTGGGTGTCGAAAGGTCCCTTTGGTTTTGTTTTACCCTACTCCATGAGTGTTCCAGAAAACACGCGCCACTCTATGAATCAACCAGACGCCAAATAAAAACCAGTAGATTGTTTGGAAAACTTGGCAACATGTCGGATAACAACCAGTGAAATATTGTTGTCTTTACTGTATACAGAAGCGATGGTTCACACGATTACTTAGGCTTGCCATGTTGTGGCACATTCGTTTCAGTTTCTCGTTTACGTTTTCTCATTCATCCAAAGAGGAGAAAAAGCGTGGTAAACAGCAGCAAACCTCCTTTTAAGCTGTGACTTTACGGCTTATTTTGATAGTGTTCAGTTTGTTTGCATCTTACTGATATGGAGGGCTGAGTTTTCACCAATCACATGGCAAGTTAAGCAAAATATTCGCAATCCCAGAATTTAAATTTACAGTAGCATTACCCGTCAACACTTGCGCAAAATGACGAAATATCTCGCCACTTTGTTATCCTAGATTTCAGTCTCGTTTCTGTTGTCTCATAATGCTTCACGTTTACTCTGCAGTTCGCGGATTCATGGACAGCGGCCATCACCCAGTCACAATCAAACAGTCCGACTTTAAGTAGCACATCATCCGGGAGCCGCTCCATTTCATCGATGAGATCTATAGGTGGTGTTGTTGGGACGTTAACAAGCTATCTTTATAGTCCTTCAAAAGATACGGGTCAAGGAAAATCACAGGTAACTTGTTCATTATTTATGATTTACACTTGTTCTCACGAGTGTTGTCTCGTTCTGGTGTTTGGTCATGAACGGTAGCAAGTTCGGGCCTGGTTCAGAGAATGACGCGGCGTGTTTGATGCTAGTTTTCAGGACCAATGAGATTTTATAATGGTCAGCGTTTGAGTTCGTGAAAGGAAATGGTAACGAAAGACGACGAGCTTTAGCGGAAAAACTCTTCATTTTGATGTTTAGTAGATTGCGACCGTCCTTCGAGCCTGAGAAGGAAGATACTTTTCTGTTTGGTTCGGAAACACGTCTGCGTCGAGTGGTTGGTCCCGTTGGAGGGTCCGCGCCCCCACTCCCTCACCAGACCCATGGGTGTTTAATTTGACCACTCGTCTAACACCAAAGTTCTTGCTGCGACGGGATCGCATGATCCCAATCAATTGGCTGGTTGATGTTGTTCTTTTAATGAAACGTTCCATTGCTTCTTCTTACAAAGCAGAAGTATTTATCAGCGTTCGAATAAACACGTGCTTGTCTCTGCTTTCTGAAATAAATTATGGATAATGACGTGTGATTTGTAACAGAAATGAAGGGAGAGGCGGGCGGAAAAGAAATGCCGCGAAAATAAAATGTCTTTCTGAATCTAAATATAGACTCCCTAAATAAAAAGTCCTGGAACTGGAACTGCCTTCCCCTCCCTACTTGCCCTGACGTTCGTTGGCTGTCTTGCTCTCAGATTGGTAGGAAACTTACTTCTATGTTACCAGAAACAAATGATATGCCGCCTTGTCCCGTAATTAATGCATCATCGCTTCAAGATTTCTTCAGACCAGCACCCAACTGTTTTTACTGAAAACTAGCTATGTGTTATATAATAGGGCGATGAAGCAGTTTTAAAACGTCATTCTTTCTTTTTCTATGCATTTGGTTTAGGCCTCTAATTCATCGGCAGCCTCGACGCCAGATACTCCAAAGAGACTGTCGGCAGCGAAGAGACTGATACCGATAGAATACAACGAGGACCATGATTCTTCCGAAAGTGAGGAGAGCAGCTTGTCCTGCATTCAGTCAGTGGAAGGGTGGGACATGGTCCCGAAAGATGTCCACAGAAAACTAAAAGGACAAGAGTTCCTGGAGAGGCTGACAGCTAGCTTGTCTGGCGAAGTTGATAAGAAACAAAAGTAAGACGAGAAATAATCTTAGGCACCAGAAAATAAAAAGAAAAAAAATTTATTTAAACAATAGCCACCATTTGGTGCGAAAATAAACGTGGATGTAATTCCGCGGACATTATCTGTTCCGAGATGAGAACAGTTTTACCAAGAGCGAAGCCCGAGGAAGACTGTAAGCTTCGAGGACAAATATACGAGCATATTTTCGCGCCAAATGGAGGCTTAATGTTTATTGTCCTTCAAATATTTTCAACGCGCGGGAAAAAAATTTACGAAGAGCTAACTGTTTACGACGTGGAATGTCTCCTTTTAGTTATCGATTTTATGAACAAAAAATACCTGTTCCTTCCTCTGTAACACCTTTCTCGTTACGTAGCCATATCTTTGCACCTTGGGAAACCTATAAGATTCTGTGACCTTTGTCTGTTTCACCATTTCACCACTTGCCTCTCTCTTCAACAGATTTATTAGCTGCTTGAGGCTGCGTTACCAGGATCCCACAGACAAACTGAATGCCTTGGTAACGAATCAGCGTGTGTACATCATGAAGGTTGGATTACCAGCGGCTGATAACGTGTTGCTTTCATTTGAACTTGTCAACTTGTACAAAGCCAGGCACAGAGATCAAGGTATGTCATCAACTGATAGGTGAATAAATATCTCACAAATCTGATTTAGAAGTGGAGAACTACGAGGTGGGTCTTCTAGTGTAAAGGGTTAACTTCAAGAGGACTCTAACATGTTCTTACGGGTAAGAACTTCACTCACAGTTGCGGTGTTTTCTTTCAGACGAAGAACATTATCTGGAATTACTGATGAGACTAGCGGGCGGAAAACGCCTCTCTCTCCCCTCCCCTAATCCTGCTGACAATCCCCTGGTGAGATGTGGCACTGTTAAGATTGCACAAAATGCAGCGAACGTCATAAACGAGGCCAAGAGATCGAGCGAGGAGGCTGAGTGGAGATAGCAAGTTGAAGCTGGTCGTGCATGATCAGGAAGTTTGTTTTTGTCGCACCTGACGTTTTGGTTCGATTTTCTTCAATTGCACGCGCATATGGAATAACTGATTGCTTCCCGGGAACAATCTCGATTTGGTATTTTGTTACAGAAGAATCCATATAATGAAGGAATCGTCTAATTCTTGCTCGTTGTGAGACTGGCCTTGCCAGTCTTATGAGGAAGTCTTGGGTATAGGCTTTGCACATCACATTTTCTTTGGCCATTACTATCTGCTTTAGCATCAAATTAAGAGGACTTTTTTTTTTTGAACACGTTTAATACTCATTTGTTTGTGTGTAAGTATATGTTACGGCAGAGAACATGGGATAAGTTGAATACTGTATTTATTTTGTAGGGAGGGATATTGGCTCTACGGGTTTTGGTTCTTGACAGTGCTTTATGCATTTTTGAAGAAAAGATATTTTTTTGGGGGGGGGGGAATTACAGACACGTAAGACTGTAAATACAACCTGTAGGGCACTGATAATAACAATGATACTGATGATGTTAATAACAAGAATTGTAAAAATAATGATGATGATGATGATTGCAATTATGGTAATAATTATGATGAAGATGACGTCAGCGACGACATGACGTCAAGGAAGACGATGACACGACGTGGCACGACACGACGTTAATGATAATGACGATGATGATGATTTTGAAGATTAAGATGATTAAAATTATATTAATGATAGTCCTTATTACACATGAAAGAAAGATATTCTGATATAAGTTTTAGAGTGAACGGCAGGCTTCCCCCGTGGTTCCATAAATAATTGAAAATCTCTAAAGTATTTGTAAACAGACGAATTTTTTTTTTCAATTTCTGAGACGTCTTTTCCGAAAATAATGCAGTCAGGTGTATCGCAATACACTTGGGAGATAAAATAAGCTATATATTTGCTTTTCAAGGATTTTGAATAGCAAAAAGTATTTTTGTTTGCTAAATACGTTGAAATCAAATAATAATTTCAAATATGAGGTAAATTGATGAATAAGTAGATTGAATATTATATTATTCGTATTTGGGATTTCTATAGGAAAAGCGACCAGCATAATGCTTGCATAAAGAATTAAAAAACTTAAAACTATATTTAAAAAGAAGGACAACAAACAATTGAAACATCTAATAGAAAGTAAATAGCATAAACGATGTGACCGATCGGATCGATGCGAGTGGGGAAAAATCAATTACGTTGATATTGTGTTAAGTGACGAATCGATCTTAACCGAAGAGGTTTTGAAATTCTCGGAAATAGCCTGTTATTGGAGAGATTTAGCGCTGCGTTTACGTGAAACGGCAAATGTCAACTTGGCCTTTCATTTTCCACGTAATAGCGTGAACCTTGCTGTTCAGCTTCGTGTGAGCTCACATTAGGGTGAATTTAAAGGCGCCCTTATATGACTGACAGGGAATAGTTTTAGCGCACTTTTTCGGGCAATTTTCCTCCACTCTGTGAGAGAAAAGGTGAAGAAAACTTACATAAACGGCAAACGCGAAACAGGTAACTTTCACGTAGAGACAGCAAAGCGCAACCGGCAAACGTGAAAAAATGGCGGGAAAATCGTAGTCTCTGGGTCACTCTTGCCGTTCCCGTCTTAGATAAACACGGTGCTAAATCTCCACCATTATTGTGACCTTGGGATTGAGAGGTCAACGTAGTTTAACCCCATCCCGTTTTGTTGTATCGTTCATGGTTGATACTTTTCCCTCGCCTTTTTCCACCGATAAAGTTTCTTCATTTGGTATATGGTATATTCCGTGACTTAGCCACTGAACGGAAATCGTTGTGAAGGAGTGTTTGAGAATAAAGAGTAATGGGTGGTCCATTAATTTGTAGGGGTTCCAATGAGTGTGTTATTTTCTGAATAAAATGAATTATTTTATATTATCTGTCTGTCCACTACTCATCTATTAGTAATGGTAACGGGAGTAGAGTGGAGTCCAATACGGTCTGTAATCCTACAAGTGGTTAAAGTGACGAGAATAAAGAAAAATATCAATTAGGGGATTGTTAGTTGATCCTATATCAAATTTTCCGATCTAACATCATCAGAAATTTACTGCAGACAGTTAGGAAAATTACTGACAAGATTTCGGGAGTGAAAGGGTTAACGAAACAGAACGACCACGCAGCAAGAGTCCGATTTGATTATTACGAGTATGATTACAGACGGAATTAGGCGTCATAAAGTCCTATTACTAAGTAATCATAGCTATTATCATTTCCGAAAAAAAGAAAACAAACAAAAGAAACTGAGGAAATAAGTCAAAATTGACAATGGGAAAAATATATATGAAAGGGTAAACGAAACAGGGACGACCACGCAACAAGAATCCGATTTGATAATTACGAGTATGATTTCAGACAGAATTGGGCGACATGAAGTCCTTTTACTAATTAATTATAGCTGTCAACTTCCGAAAAAAAAAAAACAACAACAACAAACAAAAGAAACTGAGGAAATAAGTCAAAATTGACAATGGGAAAAATATATATGATCGAGACATCGTCTGAAGTAAAAAATTCCTCCACTATGGAAATTCCCCAGCCTGTAGGAAAGTGGTTGTAGCTATGTTTATTGTAATCAAGTTGGTGGATTGGTGGATTTAGCCGATCGGCTACGTTAACTGTCCGACTATAGGTGTCCGATTACAGCCAACGGTCTGATTACAACTACAGAGTTATTAAAGAAAATAAAGCAACTTCTGCGCCCATCATATTTTAAGAGATTATAAATGTTATGATTAAACACAATATCTTAAATATTTACATCGTACGGATATTGAATGAGACAAAGTGTAAACGTTTTTCCCAAAAACTACTTCTTAAAGACAACAAGGAGTGATTAATTCTGATGAGATTCCTTGATCCAAGACACTGAAAAGAATACCTGAAACTAAGGAGGTATTTTAAATGAAGCGCATGCACAAACGGCACTTTCTGGTAAGTTATCAAACTTGTTTCTAAATTCACTCAAAGTTTTCTAGCATTTACCGGGTGATTGCTGTTTAAAAAAAATGTATAAGAGGTTTCTACAAGAAACCGACTATTTTGGCAAGAAAGTCTTTTCTGGACACAATTTGAGGTTTCTTTGAACTGCAGGGTTAAAAATAACAAAAACGAATCTTATTTTTGTAACATGATCTACTTGTTTTAGCCCGTGACTAGCCTCTATAAAACTTTACGGAAAATGGCACCTTCTTTACTTTCACTTAGACGCCACTCTCCTGAAACTTCGAATTCTATGTGAATACGAAAGAAAGACTAAATAAATAATTGGTTGAATGCTATGCAAGTTTTACGGCTGACTTTGAGTAGTCCTGGTCAGTGAATCCCTTAATAAGTCAAATGTAGTATTCCTTATTCTTCTCCATACACCAACTTGTGGAATCCTAGACCTCATCTTTGCTTCCAGTTTAGGCTGCAAAGCAGTCGCAGTTTTTGCGAAGTTCTTGCGTAATTTTGGCGCAATTATGGCTGCCATCCTTGAATTTTAGTGTTGGAAGGTTGGGGAGAGAAAATAGTTTGTACCAAGGGGGTGAACAACGGTCAAAAAGAGGGCGAGGGGAGGGGCTGGGTTCCTTCCTCGCCCCCCCCCCCTTCCCTACCGTTCAATCTAACGCCATATAAAACATGGCCGGTCAATTAAACGATTAGAAGCTCAGTTGTAATGTTTACTCGCCCTAATAAGACCCCTACATTGCAGGCTACTTCTTCTAGCTTTAGAATAATATCCTCAAGGCGGCTCCTCCGACTCTTTCCGCCTGAAGTCTTCCTTTCCCCTTGAGTAATTAAAGGTGACACTAGTACTCTTTTCGGAAATCGCCTTTTCACAGCATTTCCGGTGCGCAGTCCATCCAGCTGGTCAAGCTGGTTATCAAAACTACTTTTGGTAGCATTTTTTCCGAGGCGTACGTAAAGTTTAGTAAAAATCAGGAATCGCAAACTGCTCGGCCATTTCGTGGATCGAAATTGCTTTCGAACTTTAGTTAATCAGACCAAAAAGTGATCTAATCAAACTGTCCGAGCGTGTCGTCGTTGATTCCTTTTGATCTTGTTGACAATAATCCTCGCCAGAAGGTCCCCAAATTCCAACACTGTTAGAATACTAGCACCGAGAAACAGCCCTACTTGACCACCAATGTCACCTAAAGACACACACAAAAAATTTATTTTCTTTAGAATGATTGTACTAGTGGGTCTTGGATTTTTCAAGCTTTTAATCCTTTGACCCCTGGTAGCGACTCGCATCTAAATTCTCTTTACAATCTCACCCCGTATCACAAATTTAGGTCACGAGAATAAATGAAATGACCACCGAGTAAAGAAGCCCTTGATTGTTTAACAAGTTCTCTTTATCAGCATCATGGAACATGTATAGAGAACAGTATGGAGAATATGTTTACTGATGTTAAGGTGTAAAGCTAGGGTTAAGACAGAAAGTGTCAGTATTAATGATGATTAGCGAAGGGACTGGATATTAGCTGGAATGAATATCAAGATTGTTAGAACAATGACTTAGCGATTCATAACGCGATGTATTGGTGCAATGTAGCTATCGTTGAACATCGTTGAATAATAATAATAATAATAATAATAATAATAATAATAGTTTTAAAATTTATTTATATAGCGCTCATATCCTCAGCTCATGGCGCTTTACAACACTGTGCGGGGGACTTTACCAGACTGCTAAACAGTTTACAATCAAATAAAAGCGAATCTAACAGATGCCCCCTCCTCCCAATTCCCAGTTAACAGACCAGACCGCGCATCACAGTAAACTCGTGAGTGGGTTCTTTAACGTCCCCTGCCTAACCAAATTAACTAATTAATAGATGCAGGAGACGAAACCTACGGTTTATTCGTCCTTATCCGAGAAGACTAGAATGTCTATCCATTTCTTGATGTTATAGAAAGGTAGCACATTCTCCTCAGTTATTTTTAAAACTTGAGTGTTGGTCCGGCCGGGGCTTGAACCCTCGACCTCCCGCACAACAGTCCGGCGCTCAACCAATTTAGCCAACCGGGAGGCGGTTGAACATCTTTGAACATCGTTGAACATCGTTGGACATCTTTGGACATCGTTGGATTACGTCGCAAACTGTTTTGAGTTAGCTCTTGTGATAGTAGCCACACGACCCAAAGGTGATATGCATGGGGGTAGTTTTTCCCCGCCTATTAAATCCCGACCTTAGCCCTTTAACTCCAAGAAAAGATTAACAGGTAATTTCTCCCTATAATATCCATTCTTCCTTAAACAGGTACAATAATGAGAATATATAAACTTATTTGTGCAAGATCCTCGCAGTAAAGAGCACTATTTAAGCAATAGTGAAGATCAGACCTGAAAAAAATTGGTAGAGTGCTGCACTAGTATCGCAGAGGTCAGTGGTTCGAATCCCGTACAGGCGTTTTTTTTTTCAGGTCTGATGTTCATGCACTATTGCTAAAATAGTGCTCTTTACTGCGAGGATCGTGCACAAATACGTTTCTATAACCGCAGTTCAGATATATGAATTTCATATATATGTTGTGTTTAATACATAAACTTATCAGGTGTCTGGCACCAAATTCTCATAACTTATTAACAAAGAAATATGTAGCAGTTAATGGGGAGAAATAAAAATCAGATCTTGGGAGTAAAGAGAGAATGTCCTCATTCCCCATTTGTTCAAATGATGGCCAAACTAAAGGAGGGGAAAACAGAAAAAAAAAAAAAAAGAAAAAACCTGGACAAACAGCACATAACGGAAACAAACAAGCAAAAGCAAAATTCGAAATAAAACGATCAAGTCAAAAGTCAGATACATCACGTATTAAACTGGTGTGTGTTAAAACTAATGTCATCCTTATCAAGATCAACAATAATTTTGCTTGTGTCGAGGTAAGGTCTATAGAAAAAGAATTTCTGTTCTTCCTTTGAGCTTCGCGAGTATTAAGTTATGTGCGGTTTTTCTGGATCGGTTTGAATTGCTGCCGCCCAAAGCCATTTTCGAATCCAACAAGAGCCATCTACGTTGTTCAGTGGACGCCTAATGTGGTCATTTCACCCGGAATAACACGGAAATATTTCCTAATCTATGCGCAATAACACCTCTCATCTTAGCTCATTTTGTTTACACGAACAGTTTTCTCGTTTTTGTTAACGCTGTACCCTTCGTAACCTCCTATTGGGTAGCTCAGTCGTTAAAATTGTCAGAAAACTTACCAAACAAGCTTTCCTGATCATATGCTGGCCTCTGAGTTATAAGCGTAACTTGCATCTCTTCAAAGTACACATCCAACTCGAGGAAGTTATCCCTGTCGAAACATATAACGCTTTAAACCCTAGAGAGTGACTAGCATCTAATTTCTCCTAACAATAGGACTGCTGAATCATTCATTAAGATCATGATAATAAAGGAAATGAGTTCCAATCCTAAAGGGCTTTGATTGTGAAAGGACCGCTAAGTGCATTCAAAGTAAAAAGTTTCCAAAAACTCACTGCCAGGCTATCAGTTACTAATGTCTGATTTTTACAACGTGTTTATTGTAAATTTTAAATTTTTTTCCTTTCTGATCCGGAGCTAAAACTGGACGCTCGATCATTGAAGACTCCATCTTTGATGGTTTAACGAGAAAACCGACAATTGATCACCTTCCCCCTCCCCTCCGTTCCGCTTGAAAACTATGTGATCCTGTTCAAAATTCTCCAAACTTCCTCCCGGATGATAATAAATGACTAGTCCCTAAACGTAGTTTGTTTATGAGCTATACGAAATATTCCGTGTCGCGCGCAGAAGACCATTGCGTGATGATTCTTCTGCTTATGATTGACTATTTCCTGAGCGAGGTATACTCCTTACATATGATTTTCGTATATACGCAGTGATAGACCCCCTTCCCTCGCCAAAGCTTGAACTCACCTTAAGTAATGCCTCATGACGTCCTTCCTAACGTGTTTTCTCTTCGCCAGTACCTCTGAGAAATGTTTCGCGGGGGTCTGGGCATAGCTCAGTTGCACTTGATATTTTGTTATCTCACAGGGCACTGGGCACTCACAGTTATTACTTTCGTTTCGGAATATTTCTGGTAATTAATCGAAATTATCATTATTATTATTACTATTGTTATTAGTATCATTATCTTATAATTATGCTTATGTCATAGGGGGCAGAAACTAGTGTAGATAAACATAGCTGTATGTATCAGAAGGACAAATGCAGTATTTATTCCTTCCTTTCTGGTTAACAAAATTCCTGTATCCAGAAATTTGTAGCTCAAGATACATGTAGTCTAATTCCCCATTCACCCCAGCAAAACATGCATAGTTAAACCGTGATCCACTGCATGAAAATCAGAAACAAGGAACTAATAAACTGAATTTCTAAAAGACTTTCAAGTAGAGAGTAACTTGTACTTTCAATATGCTAAATTTGAAGTTGATAAACATCGGTTTAAGCAGTTTCTATGAAAGAAAACAACAACAACAATTGTTATGTGTTAAGCAAAACATCTTTAAAACATGTCTAACTTTTGGTGTGAATAGGGTACAAGATGTATTTTTCGAGGAGCTTTCTAAAGCCTGGGAAAGGAACCCATTAGATCACAGATTATGACACTCTTATTGATATGATTGTGATTTTAGTCATTGCATCGTTAGTGGAAACCAAAACTTAACCCGAGCATGCTTCAAAAATGCTTTTTCCTTTTCAGATGGACTCGTTTTCGATAAACTCACCCATCGCGGGCCAAACGCAATTCTTGACCTGTTGCGGTAAACAGGGTGGAGCTTCACCTGTAAGAAAAATCGAGAGGGCGAAAAATTATTTCACCACTTTTCCATTTTTGAAGTGATGAAAGCAGCGCACGCCAGTTCAGAAAAGGAGAGACTTCAAACACCCATGCAAGACTTTCGCCACAAATTTCAGCTGAAACATTCGACCATTCTATTCTTTGCGTCTCAGATTTCCTCACGATTAAAAAGTAGAAAATCCGTGAGATGGTCCTATACGAAGTACGAAGACGTTAAGAATTATATTGTGTCACTGTTTTAATAAAATTTAACTCCCAAAGATCCTTATTTGGGCCTCATAGGAATATGTCGTCCCGATACGTCCGTTACTCGTGGACGTCCGTGGTAAACATTAGGGACCTAAAGAAACCACGACGGCGACGGCAACGAGGACGTGGAAAAACAAGAGATCTAATTGGCAGAGCAGTAGCTCAGCACGTGCGTTTTGAAACTTTGTACATTTCATAGCCGTCCTATGCAAAACAACAACGTGAAATCGCCAAAATTTGCGTCGTCTGCGAACCGAAACCGTCACGGCAAATTATTTTAATTTCCATTTGGAACTGAACGGCTACTTTATACGTCATGCGGAGTTGAGCTGTGGCGCTCTATGAGATAGTAAGCTCCTGCAGCCATTTTTGAAATTCTAACTAAGAGTAGAAATTCATTTTTTAATCGAAGTCTTCCTTGGCATCGCCGTCGTGATTTTTTAAGGTCCCTATTATTGAACGCTGTTCAGTAATGTTTACCACAGGCCTTTAAAAATTATGAATCTTACCCTCCAAATCGTAAGATCTACATTTACACATGCCGATGATGTAGTCAGCACGACACTTCAGGAGACAGGCAGACTTTGTGTACTTTTTAAAACCGGCTAAATGTTTGTCCTCACATGCTGTTTTAAACGGGCGCGGAAGATTGTGCATCTGAAACAAAATCGTAGTATCCATCTAATGCGTATGCATAAACCATTGTTTTGATCATTTATTTCATATTTGAGGCCATTCAGCAGAATATCGGCATCGATATTATCATTAGGAAATAACCATAGCGATTAACCCGCTATGACAGAGCAATAATTAAAACAACATAGCGGCCAAATGTTTGCGCACATGAGAACGTTAAGTATAATTCAGAGCAAGTTCGCTTTTCAAAAACTTCGATGTCAGTTTGTACAAGAGGATTCGCGAGTCATTCGTAAAAAAGTTAACCGTCACCGTTTTTCTTTCAAACATAACGGAAAGAAATTAACCCTAAGCCGTAAAATGGTACAAACTTGAAATGTTAGCCGTAGAAGCCACCACACCACTGAGAACTTAATACCTCCATCGTAAGAAGTACCTCTCTTTTTAGGGGAAACTTCTCTTGCAACGTAAGGATCCCGTGTATGGCGCTTCTACCCTAAAACTGAGTACTGAAGGGGACTATACGTAGCCTAAAAAACGAAACTTTCTAAAATAGTTGACTGCTTTCTAAAATAGAAGCAGTGGAACACGTTTCCAACTGGTCAGCGGACAACTTATTCCAGCTAAACCTTGAGAAGACTAAAGAGCTTACTATCAGTTTCTGTCGTTCCCCGGAACTTTTCGACCCGGTTATAGTTGATGGGACTCAGATCCAAGCAACTACTTCTAGCAAGCTTCTTGGCCTTACCATCAACAACACACTAACATGGAACGATCATGTAGATAGTTTAGTTAAGAAAGCAGCTCGGAAAATTCACTTCCTTGTGCAACTTAAACGTGCACGTGTTCCACCCGAAGATCTAGTTGCCTACTACTACGCATGTATTAGATCTTCCCTTGACTACGCTTGCCCTGTGTTCCATTATTCTGTACCTCAGTACTTACAGTCAGAGTTAGGAAGAGTTCAGAAAAGAGCTCTGGCGTGTATTTTTCGTAGAATGCCGTACGGGGAAGCGTTAGAGCGCGCCTGTTTGACTTCTATCAGGGAACATCACGAAGACGTTACAAAGTCTTTCTTTAAATCAATCAGCGATAATCAGAACAGTAAACTACATTACTTAATTCCTGAAGTCCATAGCCCTCATTATAATTTAAGGCGCCAAAGTACGTACAATGTACCAGCAGCCAAGACAAAGCGTTTTGCTAATTCGTTTTTCGTGAAGGGTGCGGCTGTAGAAAACTTTTAATAGAACTTTAAGCCATCACATTGTATATTTGTATAGTAGTAGTTTGTAAAAAAATTGCGCAATTCAGTATTTTTACTGCGATGTGATTTTAATAAACCAGTCTATCTATCTATCTATCTATCTATCTATCTATCTAGTTAATTAAGGATGTCAATGATTCGTCAGCATATTTTGCATACCACTTCCTTCCTGAGACCACAGAATGTATGTGTTCCTGGTTGGATTGCAAAACCAAGCTCATTGATCAGCGGTGGTTCCTCTTGATCATGCACCATGACCTTGAACCCAGACGAGTCTCTAAGTGACCCATAGTACTGATCTTGCTGAACGCTCAGGGACAGTCTAAGAGCGTAGTCTACTCCAGCACGCTGCACCTTAAGAAGAGGATGACCTTTCAAACCTGTCATAACAGTTTTCGATTTAGTATGGTGGATCACAGCAGTCAAATAGAGTAGAGGTAAATGTCGCCAGGAACAAACAAGACCACTTTGTACTTAATGCTTCCCAAATTGAGAACTGAGACTGGAAGGAAGTCTTTTTATTTTAAGGGATCAAAACTTTTTAATGATATCAGTTCTAATGAAATGAAGGATCCTAACTCAGTCTTGATTTTTAAAAGTCGTGTTTTAGAATTTTATAGATCACAAGCTTTTTAATTACTTTTAAAGTTAGTGGCTGTTCTTGAGCTTCTTAGGCTCTTTTCTTTTTATGTCTGTTATCGCAGGGCCCTTATTGATATCAGCATTTTATGCTGAAGAGGTCATCCTGGTTAAATAACATATGTCATTATTATTATTATTATTATTGCAAAGGAGTTTTCTAATTGATGAGCTCAGTCAAGTACGATCACTAGAATCTCGTCTCATTTCTTAAAACTGTTTTATAAGGCAAGTTTACCAAATCTGATTGAATGCATATTGTAAAATATTCTAATTATTAATTTAATATGGAGTCCAAAAAACTCATTGTTCGCTGCGTACCTACCTGAGTTAAACGTGTAACAAAGACCAAATTCAGTTATCACGGCAGTAAAATTCTCAGGTCCGCAAGGCTGTGATTTCCATCGACATTTCTTGATCATGTGATCAATCCGATGCCCATGAGTCCTCACGAACTGGGCAAAGTCGAAAGAATCGTCAATGTCGATCGACGTGTCGTCGAGAACATCGACGTCATCGTCGTCGTCGCCTTTTTTCGTATCCTTTTCGCGGCGACGGCGACGAAGGTAATTAAGAAAGTTCGGAATTGGTGAACGTGCGAACAGGACTTCTTCCTTGTTGTCAATGTATTTTTGAGGTGCAAGAATGGACATAACCTGTAAATTGAGGAAAGAATGAAGTTGTGAAATGCTGTTGCGACACGGAGTCTGGTCGAACGAACTTTATTCGCTTGTGGGAAGCGTTTTCTAACACTATTAACGCACACCTTGGTTTTTTTTTTTCGTTTACTTTTAGCAGTGAGATTAAAAAGAAATTAAGTCGGGAATGGCTGGTATGTTTTCCTCTAAAACATCTTACATTATCTCCATGTCTAACAAGGACAGCTTTGCTGTTGGAAACAGAGATTTCGAGGGATTTGAAAGATTTATAAACAGCTCTGGAGAAGACAGTTATGTAACAGCAGACACTGGGACACTCGTCTTACTGTTAACTCTCAAGAAACCGCTTAAAGCTTCATGAAAGACTACCAGGCTCCTCTCAAAGGAAATGAAAAAGTGAATAATCATATATACGTTTATAAACGCTAACATAAACAATATCGCTTGGTAGTCCATGTTTTAGTATTTTTCTTTAAATGTTTTAAGAACATACATGATCTGGATATTTTTAACTTGTGTATCCTTTCGCTCCTGCAACAAACTTTTAAAAATACATGCCTATTGAGTGAGTGGGCTGGACGGCAAAATATTTGGTTCGAGGTCATGACGTACAGACCGAGCGCAGGGAGACCACACAGTGTCGAAAATTTCAACCTTAATAAAGTAGAGGGCAAAATTACTGAATGCTGATTGGTCAATGAAGAGGGTAGTTTTTTTCTTCGTTTCGCCTGTGATGAGAGGGCAAAGTTACTTGCTCACGATTGGTCTTCACTAACTTTATATTTTCAAAGTTTGTTAGCAGGCCTGGTTTTCACTGTCCTGGAATGTTTGCCCAAAAATAAAATTTCATTCAGCTCATTCGCGCGTTTGTGGTGATTGATTCTTTGTCAACATTAAATAGCTTCCTGTGACTGATTACTCAAGAGCGCATTCAGAAATTCAGTATTTTTTCTCTCTATTTCACTAACAAGTGATCGCACTGGGTCCTCGTAAAATTAAGGATTAATATCCCTTGTGTTTTCAGAAGTTACTAAAATTGCCCGAGTCGCTTGCCCGAATCGCACAGTGACTCGGGCAATTTCAGCAACTTCTGAAAACACGTGTTATACTAATCTTTAACTTTACTCGGCCCCATGTAATTACCTATACAAATAGGACACGATAGATGGGCACACGCATCTACACGAGTACCAAAAGAAAAAAAAAAAATTAATTAAAAATTATACGAAGATACCGTAAATTATTATAAAAATAGCTTTGTGCGGATTGAGTCTGACTGTTTGTTCAAGGTTGGCTTAATTTCTTTTAAACAAAGCATCTCGTAAATTAGGCAGTCCAGTTTACTTTTGCATCTCTTCAGGATTTTGAAACTGTGATGTATAACATATTATTTTGTATAATTTATAGTTTTACTTTCGTCAACTCTCATATTAATTTATTCATATGGTCTCCTTTGTAATTTTATCTCTTCCATTTTACGCCTAGCGTTTACATATTTCCATATTTAATCGCCTTTATCATTCCCACGTCTAGAATTTAGTACATATATCTAGAAATTTTCCTTTTTATCAGCTTGAAAATGACCTCAACGAGGTCGAAACGTCGTTCAAAATTATTATCACTAATTTTTATCTTGAAAAGCTTTTTTAAAAAACTTCTCATCAAAATTCTGTTTTCCTGTAACTTTTTTGCAACAAAGCGACGGGCATGCAAAAATCTACAACGGCGAGCGGAAGTTGAAAATATTTGCCAACGCATTTCCAGTGGCCGTCTCTCGAAGTTTCCCGCCATAGTTGTGTTGCCTGCGACGTCGGAACGATGGGTTTGCCGTTTTCTCTAAACGTGAGTAATTTTCTTTTACTCAAAGGCCATTTTGAAGGAATATATGGAACATTTTCAACACCTGATGAACTGCTAAGATTTTTCCTGACTTGTGACGAAAGAAAATGATTATAGAACTCATTTACTAATGGAAAACAGACAGAAATTTTTTTCTCGTTTAAAGCGGCTTCGAGAGACTTGCACACTCTGCAATCAAATTCAGACGAGTACAGAGGAAACAGATCGGTAAATTGTTTTCAACTATTTCCCCTTTGTTAATGAAGCTTAAAACTAAACAAGAAATTCAATTTATACATAATCTACCTGAGTCTTTTTAGGGAAAAGTTTGCTGGAGCTAAATATTTCTACTTTTAAAGAGCGAACGTGGAAAGTCAATCAAACACTCGCTGTCATCCTTCTTAGTTAAGTCGAACACTTAAAATTTGGGTTTTGTAGGAACTTAAGCAGTCCGCATAGCTTTTTGGCTGCTTCCCATTATCGAAACAAAAAGTTATTCGTAAACTACATGTATATTTCCAGTCTACGAGTCACCTGCGAGTGGACACAGGTCACAATAACAAATAATGATATCCGTTGCGTTTGTGGGCGAGTGGATTTGTCATGTCACAAATTTCATATGGTGAGCCACGGCTGCAACATTTTGCAGGAGGTACGCGGATCATATAAAAAAATATTCACTGTTTCTTGTTTCGCTCTGACTGAAGGGCTAACGCCGGAAACATCAGCCCTAGAAACTCTTTACGGAAGCCAATTTACACTTATTTATCAACTCAGTTGCTAAAACCAATTTATTGTATTTCTCATTTCGTGAGCGGGCGGTATTCTACAAATCCTGCGATCTGATTGGTTCTGGTTGGCAGTTTTCTTCCATCTGGTCGGCTTTCAGCGGGCAGTATCCGTTTCGTGATGAGTTGCTTTAAAGAACAACTTTAGCTTCTTTGGAATTTAACATAAATATGATTTTGTTTTTGAAGGGTGCTGTGGCCTCGTGGTTAGTGCGCTCGACTCCGGATCGAGTGGTCCGGATTCGAGCCTTGGCCGGGTACATTGTGATGTGTTGCAAACGTTTTAAATATATTGACACGCGGCCTAAAAACCGTTTGTTATTTAATAATACTTCACAAAAAGTTACTCGGAAAGTTAAAACGAGAGATGTTTGTGATAAAAAAATTACATTTATCAATGTAATTGTCGTTCATTTAATATCTGAATACCCCAAAACAATTTTAGTCGTCGTAAAACGTTGAGCGAGGTTTTGAGTTCTTCTATGGAATAAACTTCCGCAAATGCTTTAAAAGTTGCCTGAATTTGGACATTTTTTCTGTAAATTTAACAACGAAAATCGAAGGAAATCGATGAGTGAAAGTCGCATTAAATCCCCTTGTGTCCAAATAAAAAAGGCGTCTCATTTGACTTAAGTTTTTCGGCGGAAGAAAGACAACGGCCATTGCAACAATCAAACAAGCAGACTCTGACAACTTCAAAACATGCATATGACTTAACTTACAATTTGTCTTTCCTCGACAATTAAAACTGAAGAGAGGTAAATCTTCGAAGATCATTCGTCGCTAGAAATGAATAATACTTTCTGTTTCGATGGTCAGTTTGCCATACATATTGTTTGTTCAAAAGTGAACATGCGCTTTTTTCTCCTCTAATATTCACAGGTTTCAGGTCGTGATAGATACTTGTAAAAAAAGTTTCAAAGTTTACTTGGAAGCCTCAACTTTATCATTTATACGCAAATAAAAACCGTTCCGGTGAGGCCTCACTCGTTAATTTTATTAACTTCTGTCTTCTTTATTTCTTCAGTTTATGGAGGATTTTCCCGTAATTATCACGAAATTCAGTTACAGCCTTAAAACATTCGGGTTTTTTTGGCAAGCATTTTTTAAAGAGTTAGGCAAATATGAAAATGCTATTTACCAGCCAAGGTCGGTCTGTATTGGGAAAATTCTCACCTGTGCCCTCTATCTTGAATACCTACAGCCTACGTTCTCGAGCGGCATCCAAGACCTTGGGCACTGTTTCTCCCAATACGAACCTTCTAACTAGTGAATCATATACTTCAGTGGTTTGAACTAATGGATTTCAGTCATTTAAAACAAATTAAAACTATTATGGTACCTGCTGACTTAGCCCCTTTCTTTTCCCTTTAGAATACTGTATAATATCCCAGAAATTTCTCTTGCTATCTGAACATGAGATGAAAAATGAGCTGATCATCAAAGAAAATTCCCAAACTAAAAGGATCTGTCAGTGATGCATGAATCGACTTCTCGAAATTAAAACTCCCGAGGGAAAGTAAAACTCCTGAGGGAATCTACAATTACTAGTAGTGGTAATTTGTATGTTGATATAAAGACTTAAAATGGATCAACCTACAAAATTCTGAATCAATTAGCAAAATCAAAATTAAGCCTAAGTTAAAGAAGTATCGTTACCTTTTCTCCTATGGTGCCATTTATGAGGTAATATGGAAACAAATTAAAGTTGCAGATGGAAACAGCGGGAAATACAATCTGATCCAAAAACTCCACTTGCACCGTGGTAGTAGTCGGGCGATCAAAGAATTTTTGTATGCTTTTCTTGCCTTGCAAAAGCAACATCATAACAGCAAGAATCAAAATGAGGAGCCAGAAAATACGACGAATTTTAGGTCCTTCTTCAAATATGAAACGAAACCCGTGAAGGGTCAGGCTATGCAGGAAATCTTGCCACAGTTCGTAAGTTGTTGGAATGTCGTCTTCTTGATCGTCCTCGTCGTCGCTGTTCGCTTCTTTTGCTTTCTTCTTTCTCGGAGATTGCTGGGGGCAAGACATGTTAGAGAAATTGTGCGAGCTTACAAAACCACTCTGTAAGATCTCAAGAAAAGATTTCTGTGGTGTTTTTAAGACCACTAAGTATTCTTCAGCGCCTTTCGTGTCTAAGGGATAAAAACCCCTCGAGTTAAAACAATCTGTATCGAAGGACATTCTCAGCAACCATTATTTACTACATGGGCCGTCGATAAGTCCACATCATCATCCATTCTCTCGGTGTTCTTGAAAAACCTCCATGACATGTACAAGATATTGTATTCAACGATGTTTCTCAACCTGTGTGGTTAAATTTACGGTGTTAATGTGTCCTAAACGAGGTCGAAAATTTAAGCGTTTCAAAATGTGCGGTGTAAAGTTGATTTAGAGCGGCTCGATTGCAGTTTCTAAAGGCGCTTTTGCTGCTAAATAAGGCACTTTATAAACGTCTTGTAAGTGTAAATGTTTCGCTATGAACAAGCAAAAACAATTTTCAATTTTTTTGTCAATTCGCTTCCCATTGGAGGGTTGTTTGGTACCTTTTGCCACCTGCTTGCGTTAAACAGTGCTCAATGAACCATGCGGCGATCAGCTTGCTATGTTTCAACTGAAACCAAGACATTGACTTAATAATCACGCACTGGTACCAGCAAATTTGTTCAAACACTGTCGCAAATCACAACGCCATTAACAACCTCTGTATGAAAACGAGGCTATTTTTCGCCTTCACTTGCAGCTTTCCAATTGGCTTAAAGGACGCTTTAAATAAATTTGACGAGTTAAATGCGACTAAAATGCGTGTTCGTACAAAGACTGAGTAAGTCCCCAAATTTATTCGCTAGACTTGAGGGTGCTTTTGCTCAGTAGCAGGAGATTAATTTCTTTTCATCACCTTGTTTTTGTACTAGGCTTTAATGGGTTCCAATGAGCTATTTCATGGTTGGAAATTTTGTGGAGGAAGTCAAATTAAGGGAAAAATTGTTCTTAGACAGATTCTAAACGTTTTTGTCATTTTTCCTATCAGCGCTAAACATGATCCCATTTACAAGAAAAAATATAGAAGTTATTTGAAGAAAGAAATTTGCAGAAATTACCACTAATCATGATCGAGTAAATCAAGAATTTATTCAATGGCATTCAGCCTTCACTCTGCAGCCCCAAACAACCCCCCACTGGTCTTGAAATGGTATCTCTTTTCCTCAAATCGAGACCCAATGTGCTCAGTACAATTTTTAGTTCCACGTTTAGTGTCCGCTAAACGATCACAAGATTTATTATCAGCGCTGGCTACTTTCACCCGGAGTTTCTTCAGAGCATTTCAACGTCAGAAGTATAACTCGTAAAGCACAGTTGTGCGTGTTGTTGCGTAACTAAAAATCGACTGCGATTTTAACGTCACGTGATCACAACACGCGATCATCGACCCAATAGTACATAACAACCACTTGATAAAAACTGAGTTATGTCGAATTTGAAACAAACTTCCAAAGGAGAGTGAACGTTAGATGTACTTCTTTCGGTCGTTACGCTAGAAATAACAACACTTTGCCATCGAAAAGTGAGAAAAATAAGAATGAGAAAAATATAAGGTTTCAAGTGGGAGTTTTAAAACTCTGGAAATCCAAGTTTTCCCCGTTAATCTTAGATACTGCATCTAGAGGAACAATTATCTTAAAAAATAGGAATAGAATTGTTGTACAAGAGTTTTGGCTGACCCCCACCACTCTTAGTTTGAGAGACTTGCAAGCACCGCCAAATAAGGTAATGAACACGGGCGAGCAACAATTAGACAACCAGACGCCATAAAAATAGCGAGTTTTCAGAGAGAATTTTCTAGAGTTAATTGTGAGTTATAAGTCCTCTTAGTGAGTTATATAGCGGAGAATAGACGAGAAAACAAAGAAGTATCCGTGAGTTCTGTTCATCGTTGTGAAGAGAGGCTCATTTTGGCCAACCCTTTTCAAAATATTAAACTAAATTCACATTTCGAGGCATTTTTCTTGGAGAGGTTAGGATCAAAAGAGCAGGGAAGCTCATACGCCTTTTGTCTCCCTCATTGCAATGTTGTCTAAATGATAATTTAGGCAAAGCCTTGGATTGAAGACATGCAATATTCATTTCAGAAACGTAACATGGACTGTCGCACCACTAGGGGTTTATAGAATAATCCTAACCCACAAGAAATAAATATTCTTAGCTTTGCTCATCGCTCACAATTTTTTCCTCTCTCCTATGGGCTAGAAAATAAATCGTACACTTCGTAACTTCCAAAATATCTGACCGTATTTCATGTTAAACCATCGAATAAGGTGTTTATATCATAATAGAAAATAAAGGATGTCAATTTGATCTTTTGCACCATACGAATGTGAAATGAAACTTTAAAGGTGGCGGCATGATCTTTTTTTTTTTATTTTAGATGATATATAATGAACAGGATTTGTCCAATTGAAAACAAAAGCTATCGTCGGTGTGGATATATTGTTTGATTTAAAATTAAAATAGAGCAATGCTAAAAGGCACAAAATTTTTAACCAATAGATGCATATTTTACCTGGCTTGACACAAACAGAGGTTTAGAAAATATCAGTCAGCTCGCTAATTAAAAAAGAAATAGACGGCGCCCTCAAACGATGTATAATAAATAAGTACGGTTTTTTATATTAAGGCATTCATATTTTCTTCATTGTTTTGGAGATAAGGTGTAAAAGTGGGAGACAAAAAGATGTCGTCTTTGCAAAAATGTCCAGATCTGCATCAATTGATCTTTGACAACCCTCTAAGGTTTGAATTTCCACTTCTTTTTCATCCCAGTTTGTTCAGTTAAGGTATTCGCTTAAGAATATTTTGGTGGCTGCTAATTTGTATTCAGAAATATATCGCTTTTCAAGAATTGGTTGCTAGCATTTTTTTCAAATGATAATTATTAGCTATTTTGTTTTCTTTTTATTTCACAATGCTTGTTCCCGGAAGGGGGCACTCGACTTTTAACACAGTTATTGAATTGTTTTCGTTTTAATTTGTTTGCATATTTCTTGAATCAATAGAGCCTCCTTTTAAGCTACAAAAGGTGTTTACGGAGTGATTTTCGGGGCATTAAAAAGCTGCGACGGAAGAGTTGATATTGTAATGAGTTCTCACTGGTATTAATATGGTTTAATGCCAAGAGTGATGTGAACGGCTCGTTGATCTGACTGATGAAAAAAACGAATCTATTCTGTGGCCTACACGAACGACTGTGCATAAAACATGAGGTAAGTTCAGCAGGACATTTCAGCTGTAACACGCTTTTCCTCACAAGATACCTTGTATTATTACCCGTGAAGCAAATACGATACTTTCAAAAGCAGAAGAAATGCACGCCCTTTTAAGTCACAGTTTTGTAAGTTATACCCGAATTGAAGACCACAAAACGTTGTTATTTGTTATGTGCCAACCTCTTTATAATTTCATTTGTTGTTCGCTTTAGGAGTTTTTCCCTTAGCTTACGACGTTGAATCGCTGCGCTTCGATTGCTTTCTGTCTCAAAACTGTCGCAGAAAATAAGCGCGCTTGAATTTTATCCCAAACATGTAAATTTATAAAGAAAAAAGTCTTCAAACAATTGGCAATATATTAAAGAATGAACTCTTACTTTTTCAGAAAGTAAACACAAAAAATAACATTGACGTTGGAAGGCATTTGGCCAGAGCAGATTTTTGTCGCTGAAACTTTTACCCTTATTACGTTTGATTTATCTAATAGAAAACTTTTATTTTACTTTGCAAGATTTTAAAGAACACTTTCATGCCTTACGGAACACATCATTTTCGAACTAGACTTACATACATATTTAATTTCCGAACAAAATGGGTCTGTATCAGTCTTGGCAAACATCGTAAAAATCAAAGAAACTTGTTACTTAGCTTCGATTGTCGGTTTGCGTTTCTCATGAAAATCTGGTTGTGGTTTCCCCGAAAAACTGTTGGTTTTGACATCCTTGACATAAGCACTTGAGACGTTATGAACTAGATTAAAGCAAAAGAAATGACAACATTCACGTTGACAAATGCGTTTAGTTTCTGCAGTCAATAATTATCGAAATCCCTTTTAGACGTAAAAAATATTTCAACTGTCACCGTTTTATAACTTAAGCAATTGTTAAAAAGTGGTACAAGACGCACATAAAGAAATATATGTCGAATAAACCCTGGAAAAGAAGATAGGTTACTCAGAATAACACATTGCAAGAAGTTGTTGTTAGACGATAACGATCGATACTCTGTTATTGCACATTTATCAAATGGAAGCTGAAGCGGTTGCATTTTGCTGGATAGGATCATCGGCCGATTTTGAAGTAATACTGCAGCATCCGCTGTTAATTTTAAGAAAGGTATCGGAGAATCTGCAAAGCACCTTAACTGAAATATATTTCTAAGTTGTCTCACTTCGAATTCCAGTTTGAAAAAAGGCAAAGCTCGAATAACTCTTGCATCACGGAAATATTTGGTTTAACATTCGTAACAAATTGCGAAACACCTTGTAATTCCATCGTTTATGATTCGCGTGAAGATGGAATCAGAGCAGTGTTGTTGACAATTTGATTTTTGTCGGAAAAAAAATTCCCCATAACTCATTATTCATTTACAACTTCACACCGCGAAATGCATTATTCATTGCTTCAATCTCCCACAAAAATTGAGAAGTCATCGTCTCAACAAAAGTAGCTGGGATGAAGCGTGTTTGTCTGGAGAGATCTCATTTCAAACTGTGTGAGAACTCGTTCCCTATATTCTCACATGAGTTGCTTACTATTTCATTTAGTATTCATGACGACGGTTTTATTATTATTATTATTATTATTATTATTATTATCATTATTATTATTATTGTTATAACCATTGTCATTGCTATTCTTATTGTTATTGTCACCATTATTGCTATTATTGTTATTTGTTTTAACAGAACTGCGGTTGTTTGCAATCTAATGGCGGGCAATAGGGAGATGAGATTTTTTTTCGATAATACTGCTTCAAAAAGAAGGAAATTTGTTTTTCTTGAGTAGAATCGGAATTGGGAAACACGCTCCTCTCTGACCTACTAAAGACAACTTTAGTGAAATTGACACAACCCAGACAACGCTTTGATTGTACATTTCTGTCCCATCATTTTCTCTTTAATGATAAGTTATTCACTTGAAACAGAGCAACAGAGATTTAACCAATAATCCTCATAGCTTGGCCAAGGTGAGAATTCACAAAGCTAAATATGAAAGTGTATTACGAGAAAACATGTCTGCGAGCTCGATTTCGGACTACAATGGCTTTGCAACGCTGCAGCATTTTTCAGATCCAATGTCTGCTCTCATAAATTTTTGTTTTGTTGTCTCAAGAGTTTGCTTCTGCGAAAACTTTTTTTAATTCCGTTTCACTAATACTTTCCATATTTTTAATTTAAATGGGGGATACAATGAATATATGAAGTTCATATATTTTTAATTGAAATGGGGGAATCCATCATTGGCAATTTTGCATAATCGTGTCGTAAGAACACAAATTGTGAAGACCTACTCACGATAATTTGTCTGGTATTACCCGCACGTTTATTGGATGGGGGTGCATTATTACAGCCAAAGAGTATGCAGTTGAAACTTTTTTTGAGCGATCACCCACGGGGAATGACGGGGTTACCGCTAAACACAGAATAGGAGGATTGTAAAACTCGATAGAAAACACCATGTTTTGACATTATTGGCCACCTAATATACAAAAAAAAACCCTCAAAAATTAATACTAACATTGATTTTGGAAGATAAGCACGGATTAAATTTTACCTGAAAGATTATTCTTAGTTTTATCTCGGTCAGTTGATTGCACGTCAAGTAGCCTTTCGATACAGGTTGAGAACAAAACAAAAGGGCCCTCAGGACTAAGTAAAGGGAAACTACGACCACCATAAAGAGATGACCTCTTAATAGCGGTAACAATTGTAGTAATTATGTGGAAAAATTTCGGGACTTAAAAAACCAACCGCTTTTTACGGTGCCGCTCAATATAACTTCGACTGTATCTTTCCTTGTGGCCTTATATGGTCTTTGTATCACGTCATGCACTATGAACAATTATACTTCACCACTAAATTTTCTCCGGTTGTTATTGGTTTAAATCGATCACCTGACGCGATAGTGTTCATCCGTGGAGAGACAGTATCAGCCCATAGTGCCCGCTCGCGGATAATACCCGGATGGATAGTGCCCGTCCGCGGAAAATACCTGGATTGATAGTACTTATACGTGAAAAGTTTTGAATAGTTTGACGACCGCGAAGTTAGGCAGATCGGAAAAACAGCGACTTTTCAATTCTGACTGGTATAACGTATTATTTAGCCAATGTACGGTTGCGAATTATTGACATTTGTGACAAGCTGTAGGCGCGGAAGAAAATTTAGTGGTGAACAATAAAAACAATAGAGTGTTTATGTCTCGGAACTATCGGTCTGATAGTTGCCCCTTGGAAATTTGATGTTCTTAAAACTAGCATATTTTCCCTCGAAGCTTCGCTTCTCGGGCAAATATTTGTTTTAAGAACATGAAATTTCCGCGGGGCAACTATCAGCCGATAGTTCCTCGACAGAAACACTCTATTGTTTAAATAGGACGTCTGTCCGAAGTCGTGTCAATCCAATTTTAGGCCCTGGAAAGAAATGATTTACACTTTGATTGCTACAAGTGAACAAGACAAGCTGTCCGACTCGATAAACAGTGGCAGCAAGTCGATAAATCGCATAAGGTCAACTAATAGCTTTTCCATGGTTGACTAATATCTAATCTTTATGATAATTTTTGAGGTGAGGCTAGACATCGCAGCCAATTCCAAAAACAAAATAAAAATTATCGAATCGTGTTTGAAAATTAAATTGACCTTGATTGCCCATGATAAGGCAATGTAAATTATTGAAGGGATTTTCGTACGGTATTAAAGTTAAAAAAAAAAAAATTAAATGCGTAGTGAATGTTACAACCAAAATTTTTTGTAAAAAGGTTACATTGATATTTACACTTTCTAGCTATTTGATTACATTTAATTTCCAGATGGTTCCTTCTGCTTCCTCGGTGTGATATAATTTAAACCACCAGGAAAACGCAAAATATCGTTTTTATTCACTTATTTACTCATACCTATTTCGATCCAAAATAGCGGCGAAAAATTGCAAAAATTCATCCTCATGCAAGTAATTTATTTTTAAGGAGCAACGAGTTTCAGCTTTGACTAAGGGCATATCAGTGGTGCGAAAAGCGACAATATACTTATTTAGTGTAATGAAGGTAGCGCTGTGTTGTTTACCCCGAAAAGAAGCGACTTGTGGCCCGAGATGATTGTTTGACGCAAATTAGAACAAAAGGACTGCATGCTGGGCCGGAAGGGCAGTATGCTAATAGTTTGGTAAAATTCCTCTCAGGATTTGGAGTTGTGAGTGGGAAAACACTACTTTTACTTGAATATACATGATCAGTCAGGCCTCGGATGTAACTTGATACGTTCCTTGTTCTTGGCTTGACTCACACCAAATTGCGAATTTTGTTCAAGCACTCGACAATCAAAACATTCTCACCTCTAGTGGCTGGATATCATTCAAAAATTAAAGCCTACAAACCCGAATATACAGCACAAGTATTCACTGCGGAGAAGATAACAAATAATTGAGATTAAGTGTTCACTCTGTAAGCAGAAGGCGGAAACTGAAGGCCGTGTCTCCGCTGAACATTATCATTATTTTTTTAATCAAACTTTTTTAAAACTTCGCGTGGATCTTCTCGTTCCATGCCGTGATAAGCATGTGGCGTGGCGGCTGTCCAGGTTGATTTTCCTTCTAACCAAACTACAGCGACATGTTAAGAACATAACATGGCTAGCTTATTACATAAGCAAGGTATTGTCCGTTTCTTAAACACCATTTCATGGACTGAATAGTCAAGATCCAATTGAGGTCTTTGTGTTTTGCCAAAGTTACCGGCCTACGTTTGTTAGGATTGATCCATATTAATGCAAGTGAGACAAAATCGCCAACCATTGAAGGGATGCGACATTTCATAACGAAACAAACATTCTGATCAAGAATATGTCTGTGAGTACGATTCATGTCTTTAAGCTCATTCAAAAACCAAATTTTGAATTACCATCGTATTTTGTTTTAAATATTGAAGATTTCCATAAAGAGAAAGGTTTTGGATTGCGTCCATAAGTAAATTCTTCATACTATGGCTGAGCTTATTAGTATAACTGAGCTTATTAGTATAACTGATACGTGTCAAATCTAAAATGGCGTCACATCTGTTTTCAAACACCTATCAGTTGGTATTAAAACAAAATAGTAAACCATGAGCATAAAATGCAGAGTTTTCAGCTATCATCCAGACGGCGACAACTGAATCCTTGCCTAAAGTGTGACAGCTGGATAGGAATGTAAAAATCTAACATGACGTTAGCAATTTAGGCAATTAATTTGTCGACAAATGAAGACAAAATATCATCGATGGAGAAAGAGCGTTATTTTGAATTCATAGCTTTCTCTAAATATGATGAATATGTCTTGCACTATACATTAGATTCTAAAGGTTTTTCAATCGATTTTATCGGTGGGGGGCTGTTGCTGTAAGGCATTTATGTCTGATATTGTATTGAGGACAAATATATTAATTGATTCTACTCTGGACATCAACAATGTGTCTGACCAATTCAAGGAAAGGATTTACCCGAGAACGCGACGGGATGAAATGGGAAGTTTTCAAATTGAAAACTTGTTTAAACATCAATGTTTTAGTCAAGCTTACCATTTGAATCGTGAAAATTAAATCTGTTATCGTTGTTTAGACTTAAACCTGCTATCTCTTTCAAAGATTTCCGCTCATTTGAATTCTTTTCTCCCAAAGATCTCTTGCCGTCATGGATTTAAGAGCAAGTTTGCCTTTGTACAATCTAAATACATCATCAAGCACACATGAGAATAGACGAGTTTATCAGCTTAAGGTTGTCTCCATATGGCACCAATTCTTCTACCTCCCTAACATTAAATCACTCCGACGGAGAATTACTCATTATTTCATTTCAGTTTTGTTATTTACTACAGTTGTGGATATTGTTGAAGGCGGGCTCTGATTGGCTGCTGAAACTCCAAATATCCTGTGCTATTCACTGTCGAGCAGCGCAAGCGAAATTTGCTCCCGAAAACATTAATATCGTTGTAAGAATGAATAAGTTAAAATCGTATTTTTAGGCAACAAAATCGCACTGGTTGAGTAAAGTTATACTAAAACGATTATTCACCTCAGCATTAGTGGTAAGCGGTATATATTTACCTCTCTGCTTCGTGGCTCGGTATTGGTAAGTTATTTAATACTTTAGGTTAGCCTCTTTTCGTAATCGTAATATACTTGCTCTGTTTCATGCTTATTTTATTTACTGCATAGTGGTGTTTTCCTTGTTAGTCCATCTATAGATAAATCCTGTACTTGTACACTGTCCCTAGATCTCCCCGCCTCGATTAGTTCATAAGCTGTTTGTGGGGAGAAACCAATGTACTTAGCTATATTTCTAATCTTAAATAAATTGTTGTTGTTTTTGTTGTATATGCACAACTAGCCACTTCCACTTCGGTGACTGATTGGTAAAAATAATGCCGGTTTTTGAAAAAGCAGGCTCATGAAGAATAGTTTGAATATATCAACAAAGTTCAAATGGTAAATTGGCCACCGTTACGGTTGTAAAAGCCGACGTTTCGAGCGTTAGCCCTTCGTCGGAGCGAATCATGGAGAATAGGACGAGATAATGATAATGTCAATCATAAGCTGATAAAAAAACATTAACGGTTAAAGGAACACGGTCACGGTCTGCGCATGCTCGTGTAGCCGATCGAAACTTGAAAAAGTCATCCCGACTTTTTCAAGTTGCATGCACAAATTCAAAATGGCGTCTAGCGGAGGATCCGGACAAGGCGGTAAACGCATTAACTCAGAGCGGAAACGAAAGGTTGAAGACAGAGGGGAATACAAGAAAGCGTGGCTGAGGAACCATAAGCGTATTTATGTGGAAGAAAAGACATTTAAGTTGTGGCTGCAGGCAAAATCTGATGCAGGTTACGAGTCATTCAGCGACAGCGATTTTACTGATAGGAAAATAAAATAATGTCAGATATCACAGACATTTGTAGCATTTGCGAGGCAGATGTTTATTCTACTACACATTATAATTGGAATACAGGTAAGCCTCGGGCGAACTCTACGGCTTTCATAAATATAGGCAGATGACGACTGCTCGTTCGAATCCTGAAGAAAGGGAATACACAAATTATCTCGTGTGCTTTTTGGACATTCGAGCCAGAAAAGAAGTGAATGTATACCACTTTATATGCGTATATTCAACTTTATATGCATACCCTGTTTCTGCAAGGTTTATTGCTTGTTCAATTCCACATTTACATTCATCTGTACACAGCACGTTTCTCCCTTTGCACGGGCACCCACGAGAACTATTTTCTTTGCGCTTCGTCGTACAAGCACTTTTACATTTACAGAAGATCACCGAAGGTTCCTCAGTAAAAGAAATTCACTTTCATAAGCATTTGCTTCGGATAAACTTGATTTAAATGCAAAATATATGCAGAATTCTTCAACTCACTGATATTTCCATAATGGCCGTCGAGCGTGACAAGTCTTGGAGAGAGTGTACGCTTCTGCGCATGTCAACCCGTGACAGTGTCCCTTTAAAAAAAGTATTAGAGATCGACTTAACGAAAGAGAGGGGAAAAAAGAGAGAATCCTTGCAAAGTAAATCGTGACAAGAGTTCCAGAACTTCGAAATGTCTCATCTCTTTTGGATGAATGTTATCTCTGTCTTTTTTCTGTTAGGAATACACATGTGTGAAGTCGATTGTTATCTTAACATGGTGCGATGAAATTTCCAATTTGCAGTGTTTTACTCAAAATGTACATGCGTTGTGTATTAATAACCCTAACTCTTAGAATCTCCCAAGATTAACTCCAGAGAGTTTTAGTCAACAGGCTTCTGTCACGTGGTCACAAATATTTTACCAAAAACCAAAGCTGTTAGAATACTGGTTTCCGCGATACGATAATTCAGTGAAGTATTTCCGTAAATCTAATTGAAATGAGCAAATATAATTTTTCCAACGGAATATTTCCAGGAAAGTTATTGCAGGTGTATTTAATTTTGCTAAGTCAAAGGCAAAATATAGAATGTTTCTTTTAATGTACTGCTCTTAAATTGTTCTAAAGCTGTTACAGTATCGCTATGGCATATAGCTGTAACACCAATATATATACCATGACAAACTAAGTTGATCGGATTGTTTTTGTTTACTTAGTTTACTTAGGTTTATTAGGTTGCTGTTTACTGATGTTTTTAGGTACTTACTTTAAGAATCGAAAAAAACAAAGTGTTGTAAGCTACGTCGTCCCTAGACTAATGTTCACACTCAGATGTTTATATGAAAGATTGTGAAATTAATTCCTTGAATATCTTTTTCCAAAATTCGAAAAGTAGGAAAGACGGACTTTTACTTGATTGTTAATTGGTTTCGTTTTGTCTTAAACAGTTAGGAACCACATTTATGTAAAAGATGCGGTCATTATTGTGGAAGTTTTCCTTTTTAGAAAGATTTGCAAGACGCTCTTATGTGAAAATTTTGATCTTAACATTGTTTTCGTCCGCAAACACGGAAAAATGGAAATTTTACGGCATAAAAACTTTCTCCACACTTTCTTGCTGCTTAACTAGTCAATTAGCTTTCTTCCGGTTGCCACCAGAAGCGCGGTTTATCAAACACAAACATGTTATCTGGCGATGTAAATATACCCGTAGAACCTAATCAACAATGACTTGGACATATTCTGCAAGAAATTTCTACATTATTAAAGAGATAAAAGAGGAGGCAAGTGTTTCTTTGCACAGATATATTCAACCCGTCTGGCTTACTGCATCCTTTGCGAGAAGTTCGGATTTGGATTTCTCATTTCTCATCCAGCGAGGATCTTCAAGTTGGTTAATGTTGAAATTTTTAGGTTTCATGATACCCGCAATTTGGTTTTGTTGTGAATATTTAACCCAGAAAATTCAGGAATGAAACGTTTTCCATTTGTTTTTCTTTTAGGAAAATACACGGATTGATGCCTTACAACTGAAAGCAGCGTCATTGGAAAATTTATTCAAGGAAGTTACTGCAGATTTGAAGTGATGGTTTGTAACGAGGAAACGGCATGAGCTTTACGGAAAGAACAGCATGGGCCGTTTTTATCATAAGCACATTGTACTTTGCATTTTCGGATGGAAACTGCAACAATGAAGAAAAGGGATCATTTGGCATTATTGGAGTCTTCGATTTCGCCGATGTTTCCTCTAAAGAAGCTTTTGAGAACGCCGCATCTAGACATAATTCTAAGGAGTGCGTTCCTAAGTTTATCAATAGAACGCTTCTCATTAAAAACGACTCGAGCGTTTCGGAGTTAATAGACCTCGCACAGAATACACCAAAAACTGGTCCTTGTTTTATGGTGTATGCAACCGAGGATAGCAAGGCGAGAATAGTCCTTGAATTTGCAATTACCCAAGGGATAAATGTTGTTACAGCTATATCACCGGTAAGCATGATTGTCAGCACCTTTTATAATTGCCATAAAACTCGACTGAACAAGAAAATGAATAGTCTGCACGAAAGAAAGGACCACTTTCTGATGTTCTCTTTCTTCTAATTAAGGGGAAAGATGGAGACTTTCTGAACCATTCCACTTGTATTGCTACAATGATAACACCGAATGACCATTCATCTTGACAAATGACACCAAGGTTCCTTGGAATCCACTGTAAACATGCTAGAAGAGAACTGGTAGTTATTTCTCCTTGAATGATTTCGTTGTGCGCAAAAACGCAATAAGCTTCTAGCGGGAACTACTCACTGGATGTCTCGCACCAATGATCATCGTTCAATTTAAAAAAAAAATGCGGAGCTCTCAAAACGGGCATTTGGTTTTGATGAGAATAGTTAGTCTCTCTATCATGTGAATTTAATAACAACGAAAACCAAAAGAAAGCTTGATAAAAGTATATTCATTTTCAAATATAAATTTCGACATCCTTAGACAAGTGGTAGCTTGCACTATTCTTTAGATAGGGAGAGAATTGTTGTGCGGCCTCAGGTATTCGGATCAGCAGCGTGCAATATGAAAACATTATTGAAAATTGGAAATTATGATACATCCTTTCTTCTGTTCATGGCATAGATTCACGCCAATCGTGGGTGAAAGAGTTAATCGTTGGCATTCTTTTCATTGGCTTAATCGTCCCTAGATAGTTGGTCACGTTATCTCCAGTTTTAGTTTATGTTAAATATGACTTTGTGAAAGGTACGAATGCATGACAGATATGAATGCATAAACACAGTTACAAACTAACGAAAAGATCTTTTTGGTTCATTACCAAAAAATCTAGCTAGAAAAAAAGATAATAGCCCTAACCAACTATGTATCAGTGGCTCCGCGGATTCTAAATCGGAAATTTTAAAACTTCTAAAAATTTTAGTTCCTTTGCGGTTTTTCCACTTGTTGAAAACATTTGTTCATCACGTAATTAACACATTTTTTTTCCATTCCGCAGTTTTATCCGAATTACCAAAACTCGGGGATGCAGCTGAGGTATGATCCACACCATGTTTCCAGCATAAATAGAGTTTCAAGCGTGGAGACAAAGAGAGACGCTCTTTTAGCGCTCATTGGAAAGTTAAACTGGAGCAAATTTTTCGTCATGACAGATGATGAGCCTGGCTCGAATTACTTCGTAAATTTATTGAAGGAATCCCTCGGTCCAAGGAACTTGAATTTGACAGACTGGCTGGTAGTTTTTGAACACGAAGACCTTTATCATCATTTTGAAGAATTAGGAAATGATGTCAATAATATCATTTTGATAACGAACAATCTTTTACTCGTCAAAGAGGTACTCGACGTAAAAGAAGATTTTTTTACTTCGACTTGGATTTTCCTCTCTGATTTAGACGTTGAAACTTTTGATCCCCAATGGTATTGGGAGCACGTTTATATTATAACTCCAACATATTCTCTAAAGGTTAAACGTAGTGATTTTGTGGACGACGCATTGAGCTCAATAAGCCGCGTCGTAACAGGAAATGGACGCAAAGGGAAAGCTTTCATCTGCCCAAAAGTTTCTGAATTTAAAAGGTAAGAATACACTTTTTGTGGTTGGACAAAATAATTTTCCATGCGTTGTCAAAGTACCATTGACACTGATTGAAAGTTGTCAAGGATTTATTAGCCACTTCAGTCTCACAGTTTACAAGGTAGAAAGCACAACTAAATCCGGCTTACTATTTTCCAGGAATTTAATTAAACCTTATCTCTAGACCACAATTTAATACTATTAAAAATACGTTAGTAGCAAAATGATACCGAAAATGAACGTGTGTATTGTTCTTTTCAGACTTCTATCTGAAGTAAGCTTTCATGGATCTTCGGATCCTGTTCAGTTTGATCAAGAGGGAAAACGAGTGCCCCTTCGTTACGATGTTAATAAATTGGAGTACAACGAAGAAGAGGAAATCCATAAACTTGAACATCTTGGTTATTGGTCAAATGGCAAGCTTTTCATGGAGAAGAAGGGAGAAAGCCTTAAAATCCTTTTAAACGAGTACCCACCCAACGTAATATCCCAGCCGAAAAAACGTGGTGAGCCATGTCAGGGGAACTCTAAGTCGTGCATAAAAATTGTCGAAGGCCAGGAGATTGAGCGTTGCTGCTATGGCTTTGTGATCGATGTAGTAAATGTGATGTGCAAAGAGATGGGAAAAATCCCAGAGTTATTGTTTACTTTAGACGGACAATATGGAGTTTACGATGAGGTAAATAACAGTTGGAATGGCGTGGTTTCGGAACTGCTTATTGGAAGGGGTGATATAAGCTTTGATCTCTACATAAGCTCTCGCAGGGCAGATGTCGTTGATTTTACTGAACCGTACATGCCTTCAGGGATTCGCCTTTTGGCAAAAGATAAGAAACGCGAAGACAATCAGATTTATTGGGTGTCTTATCTCAGACCTTTTACTCCTCCAGTTTGGCTTACTCTGCTTGGAAGCTTAGGTATAATGATTATCTTCCTATGGGTAATGGACAAGATCAGTCCGGTCAGAGGATCAAAGAAGCTGTTCCATCCAAACTCTTCATTTGGTCTCGACAACGCAGTTTGTTTCGCTCTCGCCCTCGCGTTTGGTCGCCCAGCGGACGAGTCAAAACCAAAAACTAACGGAGCTCGGCTTTCGTCAGTTGCATTCGGAATGGCAATGCTGGTTTTTGTGTCAACATATTCGGCTAATTTGGCTGCTTTTCTCATTGTTGATGATAAAAGTCCCCCTGTAGAAGACATATACGACATCAAGGTAAAACTTAGATGTAACTGACATCGATCAAGAAACTTAACTCTTTTTATTGTTTGCTTTCCGTTTCTTTTCCGCTTTGAATTAGTAGATGGAATCAGTCAGTTAGTTCCTAAGTAACTTTAGTTTCTTTCTGATTAACACGGTTCATTTAGGGTTTGAGATATCCAAGATAAAATGACGGGTAACGCTTGGATAGGATTTGAATCACCTAACCTCACTTTTGCGATGTAGTTGTATACGCACAGAGGGACGTGTGATATATCTTTGGCCCATGATAAATGAAGTCAATTTTAGCAGTGTATAGATGCTTTTATAGACATTACCGGCACGCTGAGAACAAAATCAACTTTTTTACAAATAAATTATACACGTCATATGAGAATTAATCTGTCATAATGATTTGTTAATAGAGTTACCTAGCAACACACCAATGAACAGGAAATGATAATTTCGGTTCCTAATACATTATTTGACTAATTTTTGATCAATTAGATAATTGGAAAATCTGTTAAAAGTTTAATCGTTTCAAAATACTTATACAGTAGCTTGGCCGTGATAAACACCAATAATAGGATCATAATGATAGTAAAATAGTCCTTGTTTGATTGTAGACAGACGACGTCAAATGATCAAATGATACCATAAGAGTAAATTCCACAAAGAGCTGTTTCGGTCCATCGTTTTTTAAATTTTGTTTTAATTTCATTATATTCTGCCTAATGCATGTATGTTTTTCTCTTTACACCACTATAGATTGAGAGACCACCGGATGGCTTTAAGTACGGCACTATTGATGGATCTTACATGGCCGACTACTTCAAGAACAGTAAAAATACATACTTTCGCCACGTTTGGTATCACATGAAACAAAACAATGTGAAAAGTCTTCGAGAAGGTGTTGAAGCTGTCAAATCAGGGTTTGTAACTTTCGAATCTTTGATCACTGACTATCATCAGTATACATGAAATGTTCAACCTTCAGTCTGTCAAATAATTCTTTTCTGTAATTGAAATTCTTTGCAAACAAAACGAACTTGAATTTAAATGTAGGCAATAAATGGAAGCAAAGAAATATCAGTTATGACTAATCCATGTTAATCAATTTGACTGAAAATATTGCACAATACCTATCAAAATATGATTTGGATAATGAAAATAAAAGAAAAATCAACCTCTGGAGGTGAAAAGAAAGCTATGGCTTTTTTTTAAAAACCTGCGTGTTTGTCTATCCCTCCTTCTTATTAAGGAAATTATCGAGATCTAAGGTTACTATTACGAAATTAGAAGAGAAAATTGGGGAGGAAAATAAAGTACAACACACAAAAGAAAAAAAACAAGAAGAGCAATATTACAAGTGTCACGTTATTTTTCTTGATTTTTATAAACAGGAGTCTGGACGTTTTCGTCGCAGATCACGTGGGTCTTGAATACGAATCAAGGAATGATCCTAACTGTGAACTGAGAGTTGTTGGTGAACCTTTTGCAATGTCTGGAGCATCAATTGCTGTTAAAAAAAGTAATCCATTGTTTATCCAAGTATCAGAGGCTCTTCAAAGTATAAAAGCTAGAGGATTGACGGACTATATCCAGGAATTCTGGGTGTCAAAATATAAATGCCCGAGAGAAACTCCTCCTGCTCAACTTAAAGTAGAAGACCTCAGTGGACTCTTTCTGCAACTAACCATTGCAATGATCGGGTGCCTACTGGGTACTTTTTGTCACAGGATTTTTTTACAAATGAGGGAAAAGTGGACTAGCAACAGTAATGAGGATACAGATGAACAGGACGTGAAGCAGGGTTTTTCACAGACAGAAACGCTTGTGTGAGACGAGATTGTTTACTGAGAATGTGGCAAAGGAGTCTTAAAGAGCTTCAGGATAGAGAGAAGAGCCCTTTTGTGAGTTTGGCGTATCATGCAGTCTGAGGTTTACGCTACCAGTCGATAGGAAGGTGAAGAATCATATGAAAGCGATCGTTTAGGCACTGTAGTGGGGTGGCTGTGTCAGTATCACAGAGGCGTAAAAATGTAACGTAATAGTTTGAAAGAGTATCATTATGGGTCCGCTTTTAACCCTTGAAATGAGCCAAGGTTGTTTGATGGGCCAAACTGGTCGATCTTGTTACGCATTCCACAATCCAGGAGCGAACCACTCATCCATAATGGAGACATAAGCCTTTGGCCTGCTTCTTTGCCCATCATGTTACCTGGATTATTCAGCTATAGAATTTTAAAGAGCTATGAAGCTTTTTCCTGTACTATTTGCATATCATTTGTTAGTTGCAAGAACGAAACCAATTCCGTAGAGGGTTATAGGAAATCATTGTAACTACAAATCAATACCCATGGCATAAAGAAATCTTGATGTAAAGCATCGTTATTTTACTTTATAGTTTCTATAAGTGCGTCGAATGTGATACTCGAGACGTGATGTATTATTCTGCAAGTAGTTCAAGTGATGTAAAGAGCGTATATAATATTTCAAGCGGTCCACATGTAACTGGATACTTCTCCCCAATAGTCCCTTACCTTGGATTTGTTGTTTGATTGAACCTGATTCACACTTACGCTAGAATGACTTAACAACACGAAGAAAAGATCACTTTAGCCCCCTTCTTATCAATGTCTACGTTGTTGTTGCTGTACTGTTACTACGGGGTTGCCATGCCTATATCTTCACATCACTAACATTATGATACAACGATCTTTTTCTGTAGTGATGTTATGTCTTTCTGTCGCTAGTATGAACCACACTTATGTCTCTCCGTCGATCTTACTATTTTGCCCATATATGATTACATCTCCATGTCTGCACCAACGTCATAGCGATACGATAACTTCCGTATGTCGTTACGCTGATGTCATGATTCAAGAACTTGTTCGAACCCAGAATTCCAAAGGTTATGTTGACTGTATAGTCTGATCATCTAGAGAAGATTGCTTTCGGAGACAAAGACTAACTCACTGGCATGCTTAAGTACATACCCCCTGGCGGTAAATTCTTTTCGCGCAAGCTGATTGACTGGCCCTGCTGCGATTGGCAAATTCTTTTCAAAGCTGAGCCACTGAAGAGACAAAATCGCGCGACAAGGGTTAAATTTCAGACGATTTTTCGATTTATTGACAAAAATGGTTTTTTTTGTACTAGTGTGTTACATACCAAAACATATATTCATCTCACATTCGTAAAAAATGGTTGATCTTTACCTCACCGCTGCAATGAAATAAGTAACATAGACATTCACCTGCAAGGATAACAAGCTCGATTCAGTAAAGTTGTTTTTAATAAGGCTACATAATAAGAATTGGGTTAAGTCCACATGAGCTACTTTTTTCTTCAATAGAGAAAAAAAAACCATCGTCTACCAATGCTTCAGCCTCGAAGTTTTATACTAAATTTTCAGGGAAGGATGTTTTTTTTTAACAATTTGAAAAAGGATTGTTTAAACGCTCATTTTTAAGGTCCGATCTCACGATTTTCAGGCTGTGATGATCATTGAGACTTCTCCGGCGGGTAAATTCGGCGTTTCTTTATTTCCTGGTCGTGCTGGATTATTTTGACACAGGTTTCAATCTTTTTTATGGCGTCGTCATTCGTAATTCTGTACTTTGAGATTCCAGACTCGTAGCGAGCGGGTAAGTAAACGTATCACTCTTCAGTTAAGTTCTTCACCATTATTTGGATTGTAAATCCGATTTGAAATCGCTCGTTTACAAAAGGTGTCTATTCTCCATTTATCGTTTCTCGCGTTCATTGCAAGTTTTGTGCTAAAGCTTGAGTTTTACTAAAAAAATCAGAATCGACGGAAGTCGGACTTTTCTATCGCAGTTTGAAAATCTTGGTGAAATCTGCTTAATCCACTCATATCCGAAGAGTTACATCTCAAGGGTTGCCCTAGGATGAACTTATTTGACTTCAAGTTGTAAGGCGAGAGAAACGCCAGATTATGCTCAACCGGGAGGTCCGTATTGGGAAAAACCCGAAGTCTTGAATACCACCCGAGGCCGTAGGCCGAGGGCGGAATTCTGGAAGGATGTCACAGTTTTTCTCAATACAGACCGACTTAGGCTGGTGAATAACAGTTTTTTTTTCTAACACGTAACGAAATATTTTCCAAAATAACTCGAATGATTTAGGGCTATAATTAATTGAAATATCCTTTAGCGAGTAGATGATAATAGGGGTTATTCAAATTTAAGAAACATTTTATTTACGTGATGGTACAGATAACTTGAAAGGCTTTCGAGCAAGCTTTAAAACATTTTTCAATAATAAATGTCACGATCTGACACCTGTCGATTGGAGAGGAAAAAAAGCGCATATACACTCTTAAATGAACAACAGTACTTGTATGGCAGACACACACGAGTTAAATGACCATACAGCGTCAATCTCCTCCTCTCAGAGATCTTGAGGAAAGTATTTTCACTTTCAAGGACGTCTAATCCTCGAAAATTTACCCCTGTTCAGTTTTAAATGTCAAGGAAAGTCAAATTGCAAGTAAATTTAAATGTGTGTTTTGGAGTTGTGAGGGTCTGCTTCTATGTTTTTGCAATAGCGTGTGTTATCTTGTCTTCCTTCCACCGAAAAACTGAAGCCAAATGAGACATTTTTTCTGGCTATAGCTTAACACGAGGGAATTTAATGCGACTTTCACTCATTGAATTCCCTCGGTTTCTTACGGTAAGGTGAATTAATATGGAGATTTTTTTCAAACCAACCATTAATTTTAGCGCGATTTATTCTATACTTTACGTCGGGCGGTGCAAAATCTCGGACCAGTTATCACGTAATAACCCCGGCACCTGCGTCCATATTTTTCCTCTTATTATTTTTGGTCGAAAATATTTATTTTTCGGACGATCTCTCAGCCGTGGACTTTGTCAGCCGACATATCAGCCGCCTGAAAGGGTTCCTAAATGGCTCAGGATAGAAAGAAAAGATAGCCTTATTCAGTTGATTTTTAGCGCTTGTGATATCGGATCAAGTGTTGATTGGCTATCTCATCTGGTTGTCAGAATAAATTATCTTATGTAACGAGAGACCACGAGGCGAAATAAACATGGCAGTTGTGTTGTAGAATTCTAGTGCTCTTTGCTTGCCGCTTAGTACTCTTGCCTTTAATCAACACTACAAATCAACATCAAGTTTTGAATATTTCTTTCTCTTCTTGACTTCGCTTTGATTTTTTTTTAATTTTTGTCACGCGTGCATTATTTCTGTCAGTTTTTAATTGCGTTTAACAAAATTCGAGACCAGCCGTGTTTTTCTTTTTCCTATTGAATTGGTTTTTAAATGTTACAGAGAAAACTGATGTAGAAATTGCAATAAAATAAAATCGAAAAAGTGAAGGGATGGCAGATATTCTTTAGACAATGCCACTTACTGATTTGGTTTTACCACCAGAGAGGCTAAAGCCATCACCTTTTTTTCTTCGTTTAGCTTCGAATGCGTTTCCTGATGTTGGGTCGGTCGGCCGGATCAAGAAAAAAATAAAACCAGAAAAGAGTCATGAGAAGCAAGTCTCTGAACAAGAGGTCTGGTACCCTAGCATCATATAAAAAGTTAACATTTTTATTTGGATTAACAAAATGAATTTTGTAAACAAATAAATGTCTTTCTCTATGCTGTTACTGTGCTCAATTTTCAGATTAAAAGATTTTTTTAAGTGAAAAAAGGTTTAACTACCTTGTTACTTTTCTTTTTCCTTTTTGAAAATGCCAAAGTTTGGGTTGGTCGGACAACACTAAACGGAATATAAAAGGCACTTTCCCTCTCCAGTTCAAGTGCTTGGCTGGTAGATTTTGCAAATGTTGACCAGACCTTTTCCTGCCAGGTAATAAAGCTGTCTCAAAGGGCCACTCTCAAGTGGTGGCCTTTCTCAGTATTTTATACAGGAAAGGAAAACCTACCGTGTGTGTAATATTATGCGTCTAAATTTTTTGCAATCTTAATGGAGAACCGACCTTTTATACCCTCATCTGGTTTCTTCATGTGTCTATCGTCCATTTACTATGTGATTTTGACGTTTCACTCCGCGTTCGCTATAATGATACCATCGAAAAAAGATCGTCCTGCACGATGAAAAGCCGCCGTATGACATGGCTGACTAGATCAATTCAAAAGCATAGAATGAGCGAAGTACAGCTTTGGGATTTTGCAAGAAAACTAGAATAGAGTTTGCTCTGCTACACAGGATTTCGGTGGAAAGTCAAACAGAAATCTCCTCTCAGCCTCTTGGGTAACCGACGCCGACAGGGGAACGTTTACAATCTATCTCAAGCCTAACCCACGTAAGGATTTTGAGTAACCTTTCACTTGCGTTGAGACAAATGTTTCGTTTAGTAAATAGGCGTTGCCTCTGATGACAGATATAATTTAATTAACACAACTCGTGATTGACATTAATTCCTCACAATGATTTAAAGTGTTAGCTTGTCGTGATTTAAACCAGTTTTTCAGAAGAATCAGTAGGAGAGAGAAGTCGATTTTTGTATCTGTTCGCTTACCCGAATCTGCTAACCTGAAGTGAGAAACCTGTTTTTACGACCCGCCACAGAAGTAAGTTTCCAGTCATGTTTTCTTGAATTTTGCCATGAGATTAAGACTAAATTTACGTTTTCTGATTTCGAATTACAAATGTATTTCTCTTAGATCGAATAATCATTAAAGTTTGGATAATATTATACGGTTTGTGGTGGTCGTCTGAGCTGACCAGTTCCGAGTAAGGAAACAAATGTTAGGT